AGAGGTAAGGGGGAGCAAGAGCATGGAGGACTTTGAAGGTGAGGACCAGGATCTTGAATTGTATTCACTGTGTGATGCGAAGCCAGTGGAGTCGGGCGAGGATGGGGGTGATAGGGTCACGGAGCCTGATGCGGGAGAGGACATGGACTGCTGAGTTCTGGATGATCTGCGGCCTGTGGAGGGAGGAGTTGGGGAGGCCGACAAGCAATGAGTTTGCATAGTCAAGCCTCGATGTAATGAAAGCATGTATGAAGGTTTCGTCGGCCTGTGGTGTGAGACAGTGGTGGAGCTGGGCGATGTTGGGGAGGTGGGGGAAGGCAGAGCGGGTCACAGCACGGATATGGGGTAGAAAGGATAGTTGAGGGTCAAACAAGACACCAAGGTTCCGGACTGGCTTAGCGAGGTGGAGTGTGCAACCATGGATGGTGATGCTGTCAGCGCCTGAGGTGAGGAGGCGCTGACGGGAGCCAATCAGGAGAGCCTCGGGCTTGTTGACGTTCAACTGAAGAAAGTTATCTCTCATCTAGGACTTGATGTCTGACAAACATTCTGTCAGGACAGCAGTGGGTCCTGGAGTCAAGGGTGGAGGCAGAGAGGTATCGTTGGCTGTCGTCCACATACATGTGGAAGTTCACCCCATGTCTGTGGACGTTGTCACCAAGAGGGAGCATATAGATATTGAAGAGGCGGGGACCAAGGACAGAGCCCTGAGAAACGCTGCACGAGACGGTACGAGGGCTGGAGGAGAAACCGTTTGTGGAGATTAAGTGGTTAGTATGCAAGATGTGTGAAGTTACTTAAGCCTGTGTCTCCTGTGTTTTTTTTATTGGCTTTGATGCTTTGCTATACTGGGTGCTGCCGGCACAGTCACAATGTTCTGTTGGGTGAGATTCCCGAGTCCTATTGTTTATGTTTGTTTCCCAACAAAGCTGTTTTTAATGGGATTGTTGCCCCCTAGAGGTACACCTCAGGACTGCCCCCGAGCAAGACATTGCCTCCCACTGTGATGAGTTTAAGGCAAAGTGAAAAGTAATAATCCTTGCATTTTATATAGCCTCTATAGTATCAAGACTGTCTCAAAGTGCCTCATAAAGTTTCTGTAAAATGTAGTGACTGTAGTGAGTCCTGTAGCTCAGTGGTTAGAGCACTCGCCTCTCAAGTGAGAGACCTGGGTTCGATTCCCAGTAGGGCGAAACCTTGGGCAAGTTTCCTTACTCCACACGCCTAATAATAATCCCTCAAGAAAAAAAACAATAATAAAAATTGGTCACTTTAATCCATGACTAATTGTGGGACACGGCTTTGTGCAATTGGCTGCCGCATTTCGCCCACAAATATACAGTCAATTTACTTTACAGTATATTCTGTGAAGCGTTTGAGATGTTTAGAAGACGTAAAAAGCGCTATATCAAATGCAAGGATTATTATTATTATTTCCTAGGCAAATGCGGCAGCCAATTTGCACACAGCAGTGTCCCACAAACAGCTATGAAGTCAATGATCAATTTTTTCTGGCGGAAAACTTGCCTCTCTTTTCGAATAGTGCTACTTCCTCTGGAATTTCCATGTGTAGGTGGGATGTATGGAATTCTCAGTTTGGTTTGGATACTCTTAAGCATGGTTTCCGCCCGCCCTAGGAATCTAACCTGCATGAGGGATGCTATATCAATGCAAGTTGTTGTTGTTTCTGCATGTTTCAGACGCTCAGCTGACCAAAAAAAAGGGGGATAAAGCAAATCAGAAAGGTAGGCATTTGTAGACAAGTGATAGGATCTTGAAATCGATCCATTCTGTGATAGGGAGCCAGTGGGAGCCTGGTGTGATGGGGATACGTAGTTTAGAATGGGTGAGAATACAGCCGGCAGAGTTCTGAATCAATTGGAGTCCTGTAGCTCAGTGGTGAGAGCACTCGCTTTGCGAGCGAGAGATCTGGGTTCAGTTCCAGGCAGGTCAGGGCGAAACCTTGGGCAAGTTTCCTTACTCCACACAGAGCCTAATAATAATCCCTCCAAAACAAAAAACAATAACAAATTGGTCATTTTCAATCTACGACTGTTTGTGGGACATTGCTGTGCGCAATTGGCTGCTGCGTTCGCCCACAAATATACAGTCAATTCACTTTACAGTGTGTTCTGTGAAGCGCTTTGGGACGTCCTCCCGACGTGAAAAGCGCTATATCAAATGCAAGGATTATTATTATTATTATAATTGTAGTTTGTGGGTAGTTTTCAGTAATTTTTCAGTTGTTTTCATAAGCGGAAACAGGGTTAAACTGCAAACAAACCAAATCCAATTGCAATCATGTCCCCAATTTATCACAAACTCTCCTTTGACTGATCAACCTGGTCCGTTGTCCCTTTGACTATTGAGTTGCTTTGATATAAATCGCCTGTTCCCCATTAATACTCTGCCCGGGGAATGGCCTTGGCAATCTGACCAGAATGCAGCAAAGGCAAGCTTGCTTCTTTTATCACTCCTCTGTTGCTGGTATTGTTTTTGCCACGTCCTTGAGAAACAAGTGGAAAAAAATAGAGAAAACAGAATTGTGAGCTTGGATTGCAAAATTTGCACAATGTCCAAGGACACAAGTGACTCTATTCTCAATGTTATTGCAAAAAAAACCTTGAGATGTATCCTGACGCTTGCAGTGGAGTGGGGGTGGGGGGGCAGGGGTAAGGGTGGGGACAGCAGAAAGCGCAACACAAGCAAAATGCAATGACATTGTAATTTTAGGGATGAAACACGGAAAAATTAGCCTCATAACAATGTTACCAACTGACATAAACAGAGGCTATACTGATGTTTGTATTGTATGCTAAACACAGCAGTTGGCGTTGGAGGCTGACTGGCCAGTGGGATAATACACCCACTATTTAGATAACTTTGTTACTTGTGCGTGATCATGTTACTTCCATGTGTTCAAAGCTGCACATGATGTTTCCAATGGCCTCTTTGTGGTGGGACAGAGGAGAAATTCCACCTGGGTTAGATTTGCACTTTTAAGCAGTTCAAAGTGTGCTCTTTACAAAAAACTCTTCACATCAACCTGAATTTTCGAAGCCTATTTTTCTGTAATTCTTAAAAATTGGCTTTTCAAAATTAATGCTGAATTTAAGAAATTTACCTTACTCTGGAATACCAAGAGTATAGTGTGGGCTTAACTCCCTGTTTATCACAAATGGAGTACGCTGGAATCAATACTCGTAATGTGTGCCAAGAACATGTAAAAGTGAAGAGGATATTCAGTATATAAAGCAATGGGGTGTGTAGTGGCAGTGCATTACTGTACAAGATGCATTGCTTCACTAATAATAATCCTTGCACAACCCGTCGCCTAAGGGCTTATGGAGTCTATAAAGGACACAAGTGTACACTGTTCACCAGATGAAAGACGGTGACAGCTCGATCTTCTCCTCACTTCCCACCCACACACACGCAGAAAGCACACACCACACACATACCATCCATACACTTGGGTGTCTTTCTGTCCCTGATTTCTGAGTTCAGTCCCCAGTTGAGGAACCTTATCCCTGGGGCCAAATTTACCCTGTCTTGAGTTCAGCAACAAACTGAGTGAGAAAAATAAACAATTCTAAAACACAGATCCTCATCAGAGAAACACAGCCATTAATCCAACAAGCTCCCCCAGTATTGCCAGCATCAGGAATTGTGGGGAGTTCAATTTTTTTTTACACATATATATGTGTGCTCGGATTTGGTTTACAAAATATGGTCACCCTACAATGCACCGAAACTCATACACAGAAGAACAATAACAAATTGCATTTATATAGTGTCTTTCAAGTCAGGAGGATGTCCCAAGAGGCTGCTGGACAGTCAGGATTTTGGACCCGAGCAGGGGATTGGGATCAGGGAGGGCGCAGGGCAGGGAGGGTGGGAGTAGGAGGGTGACCAAAGTGCGGTCGAAGAGGAAGGAGGCAAGGGAGGGGGTGAAGCGAAGGGATTGTGGGATGGAGTTCCAGAGGATTGGGGCAGAGAGGCTGGAAGCTCGACTGCCAATGGTGGGGGCGTGGGCGGACACATACACACACATACTTTCAAGCAAGAGTGATCAGGGGTATTAATCAGGAATGAGAACTCTGACCCAGGGGAGCTAAGGGACAAACATAGCTCCCCACCAGGGTCCAGTTCAGAGTTCTACAATCTCAACCCCTGGTCCCATGTTCTGTGACTTCTCCCATACCATTAAAACATGACACTGATCATTAAACGCTTTAATCCCTTGGTTAGCGTGTCAGATCTGGTCAAAACACCACCAACCCATAAATAATACTTCACTCATCCTCCCAATAATCATTATTTATTTTAAAAATTCAGCTTGTATGGCATCTTAGACAACAATATGAAAGCTTCACACCCTAGTTACACAGACACCAGCTGCGCTCTATTGATGCAGCTATAGAAATAAAAATTAACATACATACAAAAGAATCACTTGCCCATTTCCACAGTATACAGAAACAGATAGTTCCAAATACGATACAACTAGCTTAAACTCAACCACATAGCAGCGCGAAAGGGTAAAGCTGCTATATTGGTGGTTGGGAAATGAAGCCTCCTCAATGAACCGGCATGCAACAGGAAATTCCACAAATGTCCGTTTTGGGATATTGGGAGAGGACGCTTGCCTGATCCTGTATGGCATAAATGTCTGTTTGTGAAGCTTGTGCTGGTTTTAAGCCCTGGCACAAAGCACTGAACGTGTTGTAGCGGGATAGTAATAATAATCCTTGCATTTGATATAGGCCTTATCTTGTCATTTGGACGTCTCAAAGAACTTCACAGAATATACTGTAAAGTGAATTGACTGTATATTTTGTGAGCGAGACACAACAGCCAATTGCGCCCAGTAGTGTCCACAAACAGGCGTGGATAGAGTGACCACATTTTTTTTGGAAGGTTTTTTTCCCCAAAAAGCAATCCGTCAAACAACCTAACAACCGGGTTACTATTTACTGCTAGGTAAACAGAGGCGTATTCAGTAAGAAAACCTGCCTACGGTTGCACCCTGCCTGGGAATCAAACTCGTCCTCTACACTCCACAGTCCTAAGTATCATTGAGACATTTGGGGGCAGGAAGAGGGGTTGGAAGGGGCTCGGTAGCCCCTTTCATATACAGTATAAAAAAGTGATGGAGAGAGATTCTGCTGAAGTATGTGAAAAATGTAACTTCTATTCTATCAGCCCACCATGTGGGGCCGGATGTGCTACACACAGTTATTTGTGTCCTTCACAGAAACTGCTGGGCTTCCACTTCATTGAGATAGTCCTGATCAACGTAAAGGAGGAAGCCTGTAAACAGACTGTCTGCCCAGTGTGGGTCGTAAAACAGGCCGTTCTGTTCCGAGTAGAAGATCTGGAGCCAAACCTCGTCCTGGCTTTTCAGGTAAATGATGGTGGAGGCAGAGGCCACATCGTGGTTCCCAGTGTTGGCGTCGAAGGTCCTGATGTGATACTGCCCGTTGTGCACCAGCCCAATCGCAAGGTGCTTGTTGGACAGAGTGATGTCATAGGAGAAGTAGTAAATCCCAGGTATGCCGCATATAAACTTGCCGCTGCTCGAGTTGTAAAAGCCTCCTTCATTCAGGAGGATCTTGTCAAATTTGATGGGCATCCGTTCTCTCGGATAGCTGCGGGTGATGGCTACAGAGAAGGCACATCTCGCCAGATTCATGCCACATTTACAGATTCCAGGAATGCCAGGCTCTCCTCTCACACCAGCACCACCTTTAGGTCCATCCACCCCTGGGGTCCCAGGATCACCAGCAAAGCCTTTTGGCCCCCGTGGACCAGCCTTGCCAATGGCTCCCCTTATTCCGTTCACTCCTGGTTTTCCTGATATTCCTGGCTTCCCTCTAGCACCTGAAAAGATAATGTTGGTGTATCGTGAACCTCACCTAAGGCGTATCAGTTGGGACCAAACAACAACAACAAATTACTATTTAAATTACTATATAAAAACAAATATTTGTGTAGCGCCTTTCACGTAGCAAGGACTTCCCAAGGCGCGGGACAGTCAGGGATTTGGACCTGAGCTGGGGGTTGGGGGTGTGGGGGTAGAAGAGTAACATTACTTTTAGTCTGATTTATGTAAAGTATAAATTATGTCAAACTTGCATAGAATATACACTCTTGAACGGATTTGGGCAGATGTACAATTTAGGTCAGTGTGGTCCAACAGGTGGCTCGGCGAGTGATTTTATCCGGCCCGCAACCATTTCCACCATTTCCAACCTCCCGCCCTCCCTCTCTGGTAATCGTCCTCTCAGGCCAGTGGCAGGTGCCGCCGGTTGGGAGGACTCACTGAGCAGAGCCTTTACTGCAGTCTGTCAGGAAGGTGAGCGCATCTCTAACCAACCACGTCCTTAGCAACCAACCACTGTAGATAGTGGCCCTCTCTCCCCCTCTGTCTCTCCTCCCTCTCTCTCTCCCCTCCCGTCCCTTCTCCCACTCTCTCTCTCTCCCCTCCACTTTCTCTCTTTCTCCCCCCCATTTTCACAAGTGCAGATGACTATCTGCAGTGATTGGTTACTAAGGACATGGTTGGTAAGAGATGCGCTCACCTTCCTGACAGACTGCAGTAAAGGCTCTGCTCACTGAGTCCTCCCAACCGCCGGCTCCTGCCGCTGCCCTGAGAGGACGATCACCAGGGAGGGAGGGGTGAGGTTGGAAATGGTCTGGGGCCGCCAGCTGGCCCACACTGAATGCATCCCGTGGACCTTTCTCAAATAGGGAATCCAGCCCACAGCAGCCAAAAGATTGGACCTCCCTGACTTAGGCGATTATATGATTTATACAGATCAGACTCATACAAGGTTTACTGTATCTCTGTGCAAAGACGTGTCCATAACTCTTAACCCCAACTCTCATGTGTCAGATTACTCAGCTGGGTATCTGAAACATGAATCCAAGATAAAGGGCTTGGATTCTTCCCGCTCAGCTCCTGTTAACTCAGCTCCTGAAGTATAATGTAGAGAAGTGCGAAGTCATCCACCTAGGTAGCAAAAACAGTAGAGCGGGTTTTTTTAGAAGGGGAGAGATTGGAACGTGTTAGCGTCCAGAGGGACTTGGGTGTCCTTGTACACCAATCACAGAAAGTTAGTCTGCAGGTGCAGCAGCAATTAGGAAGGCGACTGGTATGTTAGCATTCATTATGAAAGGATTAGAGTATAAGAGTAGGGAAGTCTTGCTGCAACTTTATAGGGCCCTGGTGAGACCACATCTGGAATACTGTGTGCTGTTTTGCTCTCCTTATTTAAGGAAGGACGTACTTGCCTTGGAGGGGGTGCAGCGTAGAATTACTAGGTTAGTGCCAGGGATGAAGGAGATGAGTTACGAGGATAGGCTGACCAATTTGAGCCCATATTCTCTAGAATATAGAAGAATTAGAGGGGATCTTATAGAAACCTATAAGATCATCAAAGGGCATGATAGAGTAGATAGTGGGAGATTGTTTCCCCTGGTTGGAGAAACTAAAACCTTAAAATCAGAGGCAGCCCTTTCGCACTGAGTTGAGAAAGAACTTCTTCACTCAAAGGGCAGTGAATGTATGGAACTCACTACCCCAAAGGGCTGTTGATGCTCAGTCCTTGAACATATTCAAGACTGAGATAGATTTCTTATTGCAAAAGGGATTAATAGATATGGGGATAAGGTAGGGTCAGGTTATTAGCTGGAGTTAGATTAGAGGATCAGCCATGATTGAATAGCGGGGCAGGCTCGAAGGGCAGAATGGCCTACTCTTGCTCCTACATGTTATTTTATGTTAATCCTGCAAGCAAACCTAAGCCTTTATTTATGGGATAGTCGGGAGCTGTGTTACTCGTGTGAGACCATACATTTATGTTGTACAATGAATGTGCATTTGTGGGTTATTCTAGTGCATTTATAAAACTACCATGATATGTTTTTGTACTCCCGCCCTCCTCACCATTGATGGTCGGGCCTTCAACCTCTCTGCCACCACCCTTAAGAATTTATTCCACAGTCCCTTCATCTTGCTCCCTCCCTTGCTTCCTTAAAAGCAATTCAAGACCCTCCTCTTTAACCGCGACTTCAGTCACCCTTCTACCCCTACCTTCCACCCCTCCTGATCTCAACACCCTGCTGGTATCCAAATCCCTGACTGTCCAGCACCTTGGGACGTCCTCCCAACATGAAAGGCACTGTACAAATGTAATTTTGTTGTTGTTGTACACACTCACCAATGCAACAAGGCTATATAATGTAACACTTCAAGGGCGTGTTTGTTCCAGCATCTCAAAGTGAGTGAAGAGAGTATAAATAATTGAACAGAGTATAAGGAGCTACAATTATTTTACCTTCATCACCCTTTTCTCCTTTTTGGCCATCTTTACCATCCGCGCCATCTTTTCCAGGAAATCCCATTCTTCCGATTGTTCCAGGTGCTCCAGTTACACCCGGAGATCCCACAGCGCCTCGAGAACCAGCCACACTGCAGCTGACTTGGGCTGAACCTAACCTCATGAATGGCTTTGCTTGGTCCATTGGAAGCTGATTGGCAGCACAGGGCACAGTGCATGCAAGGAGAACCAGCCACAACATCATTGCATCTAATACAAGAAAACAAGTTACGTTATAACGCCTTTAATGCAAAAAAAAAGGATATCTTGCAGAGGATTACAACATGTGAATAGTTAGAAATGAAACTAATGTTTTTATGCAGTATCATGTATTGTACATCCTGGTGTAAGTATATAACACATGACAAATCTTAGTGCATTCTGAAAGGCACGGCAGAGTGTGGAGGGCAGATTGGCAGAACAAAAGGAACAAATGGGCTTGAATTTTTGGCCGAGCTTCTAAAATCGTAAAACACCAGAAACAATAACAGTCAGCAAGAAAACCCCATTTTGATGCACTAATAGTGATTTGGTAGAATTAAACCCAGATTTGTTTTCTGCAGTTTTCGAACTACAGGCAGACATTCTAAATGAGAAATGGAAACATTTGTTTGATTGTTTTTCTCCTCGTTGAATATGGTGAATTGTCACAAGTTACGACTCCAAGCTCTTGGTACATCACCCAAGGGGCTGCTCTCCATGTGTAAGCCCTTTTAGTGAATTTCAGTGAGTTAATAGAATATAGGGTTATCACTATTGATGCCACTCACAAAATACAGTCAATCCACTTTACAGTAATAATAATAATCCTTGCATTTGATATAGCGGCTTATCATGTCGTTGAGACGTTTCAAAACACTTCACAGAATGTACTGTAAAATGAATCAATTGTATATTTTGTGGGTGAAAGCGGAAAGCAATGACCCACAAATGTTTTTTTGATGTGATTATTACCCCTGGAATGTGATCTGTCAATTGACTAACAACCAGGTTCCTATTTACTGCTAAGTAAACAGAGGCGTGTGGTATAACCTGTGAAGCACTTTGAGCTGTCTCAATGACATGATAAGGTGCTACATCAAATGCAAAGATTATTATTATTCCTTACCTGGGAACAGCATAGATACACTTCAGTAGGGGTTACTTCAGTGACCCTACTGTTGGCCTGACAATTATATGATTATAATAATATTTGCGTTCGATAGTAGTAACTGATCACGTCGAACAGGTGTCTCATAGTAATTCACATAAATTTTACTGCGAAGTGTGATGACTATGCATTTGGATTTTTGGGGGGTGAGTTAGCCGGGTGTTTGACACATGTGGAAACCCAATTTAAGAGTCTGCAAACCACGCTGAGATTTCCTACATATGGAAATCCCAGAGATAGATTGTTGAAATGCAATGCGCACTCTCTTAGCTAGAATGCTTAGTGTCAGATCGCTGTAGGTTGGAGCCCTCACTTTCTGTAGCCGTTTCCCATGTTTGCCACAAATCCACCTCACTGCTTGATCCTGGACTTTGCAGATGGATCAGAGGAAGCCTCTCCACTGCAATCCCCCAGAGCTCAGATCAATAAAGGAGGACAGTTTTCACACAGGCCTTGTATGCCACAAGCTTGACCTGCATTGGGACCTCGCTGTCCTTGAAGAGGGATGAGCGAGAGCAGAGTGCCCTTCACCCCTTCTCAGCGTGATCCTTCAGGACAATGTCCAAGCTGAAGTTGGTGTCCACTTTGACCCCGAGGTACAATTGGGACTGATGCCTTGTATCTTCCAATCAATTCCCTTGCTGTCTTCCCTTGGGCCATGCAGAACCATGACTCCGTACTTGGGGGCGCCCACCACCATGTCCCACTGGTTGGCCCAGAGGTTCAAGATGAGGCAAATTGAGGTGAAAGAAGCCAGGACATTGAACTCAATTAAGAAACAACTTGATGCCGTCATGGGAAAATAATAGGGTTGGTATGATCAAATTCATCACAAGCATTTGACGATCGGCTAACTTGTTTAACTTATAATACTGGGTCTTTGGGATCTAGTACGATTATAAAATATTAGTTGTATCCGTTGCAACTTCGCTTGCAACCAAAGAATCCAATATGGAATGTAGATTGACACACAGATAGACATTTAGTCTTTATCTATACTCAACTGGGGTGGACTCCTGTGAGAGGACTCAGTGGGAGGACTCAGCACTTTAAAAATGTAATTTTGTGATTGTTGCCACGACTTAGCTTTGTGTGTTCTTTATTTTGTTCCCGCTGCTTGGCTACATGCGTGTTCTGTGACGCACGATGCCACAGCGCCATGGTCAGCCAGTGTGGCCACCAAGTGTAACTGCGGTGCGTGCGTGTACATATACACAGCACCACTTTGACTCGGCGGTCACCAGGTGTAAATGCAACAGAAAAAAGCAAAACTGAAAAAAGCTCATTAACGATAGGCGATACCTGAAAACAAATATGCCCATGTCACTCCCAGTTGCAAGACCTTTCATATGGGGTATAAATCATGTCTCTACATCAGTCTGTTGTTGAGATCCTTCTTGAAATGCAGACCGACATTGTTGTTTTATTAGTATAGAAGAAGATAAAACTAAAGAGAGAGAGAGAGAGTTAATAAAAACACTGTAGGCTACAAGAGACCAGTTTTGTGCTGAGGGGATCGAGTCTGCATTTTCTTGCCACTTCTCAGAATTTCAATCAGATTTGGAATTTCTGTTGCATATATGACAGGCCAGAAATGTCACACCTTGGGGCCAATTGAAATCACATGAAAGGCAGAGGGAGAGAGAAGAGAGAGACAGCACCCAAGATATAATGTAGTACACAACACAGGCAATATTGAATCAGCCAATTTCTGTACTGCAACACAACTTGCATTTATATAGTGCCTCTTTATGCAGCGTAGCTTCCCAGAACGCTTGACAGTGACGGAGCATGTTGCCGAGCTGGGGTGAGAGAGAGGTGACCGTAGGCACGGTCGAAGAGGAAAGTCTTTAGGTGCGACTTGAAGATGGGGAGGGAAGGGCAAGACGGAGGGTTAGAGGGAGAATAGTCCAGAGTTTCGGGGCGTAGTGGCTGAAAGCGCTAACGCTAACACAGTATAAGAATTCAGAACTCTCAAACATTTGCTGAGTTACTGAAATCACAGAAGTGCAGAAATAGTTCTATCCCTCCTGTGATAGTTTTTATACATCTTAGTTTTTCAGGGCATGTGTTCAGGACATCCTTTTATCAGTGTCAAGTGAGTCAGGCTTTAGCTATGTTGCAGTTATGTGCTGAGAAAAATGCACTTTGAAAACTGCACAGCAAATTCCACACTGGTAGAGTTAATCTGTTAATAAGAGTCTGTGCCTTGCAATCCCGGTCAGACATTCGTCCCTCAAAACTTGTTGGTGCCTTTTTACATTTCCCAGTTCAGTGTCAGATCAACTTGGATTCTTCGAAACCGAAAGAGCATTGCCAAGAAGGCGCCTTGCGAACCAATTCAAATCAGTTAAAGGTAAAAGAAAAGCATCGCTTGGTTAATACATGTGAGTGAAAACTTTTCCAAAACTCTTTGGGCTGTGAAGATGAAAACTATTTAGGTTTTTTTTTTCTCCCCCATCACCCCCAAAAAAAGACATTCTAACAAATAATATCAAATGATTTGAATCTCCAGGCGTTTCCCTTCTGCACTGCTAACTAAACCAACTTAGCCAAACTAACCCAGCTTCTCAGCGATGATTCATGACACAAATTTGAGACCAGACAGTGTTAAAGCCATCACTCCTAGCCATTAAGAAATTAAAGAAAAGTATAACAGAGAAGCGAGCACACGCTAAAAAGTTAAGGTCAAATAAACATCTACAAACCACACTCACCAGATCTGCAGCCGCTTCCCTTAGAGCAGCCCTCGCCTCTCAAATGCAACACCAGAAAAGATCCTTTTATAAATTTTGTCAGAAAAGGCAAGGGCAAGCCTATTGATTTTCCATTTGTTTAGCAGTAGTATGCACTTACTTTAGTGCTTAAACAGCGCTACGTCAACCAACCGTTTCTTGTAAAAGCTGAAATCATTTCAGATACAGTACTTTGAAAGCGTTTTCATGTCCATTCTTCCTGACTCCCCCCTCCACACTTTTTTTTGTAATTCAAAGCAGCTTTTTGCTCCCCCTGGCTGGCTTTCCAGCTCCCTCCAGTGCATACTTTTCTCATTATGTAATGTAATGAGCTGGAAAACTTGCTTCTCGTGTCACATGCAATTGGAAATGTTGACTGCATGAAAAAAAATGACTGCACATGTCGACCCATGGTTATACATGTTGGAATGCATCATTTTTGGATCAAGTTGCTTTTGAAAGTCGTCTCTGGTGTTAACTTGTTGTAACCTTTAATTCTGGATTAACTTCAGATCTTGTTTCACCCACAAAATATACAGTCAATCCACTTTACAATATATTTACTCTGTAAAGCACGTTGAGACATCTCAACGACGTGATAAGGCACTATATTAAATGCAAGGATTATTATTATTATTTTGGGGACCTCGATGCACCATCACAGAGATTAATAGTGAAAAGGATTCAGACATGAAAGCAGTTAACTCCTCCTTTCCATAAAAACTCTGAAATTGTAATTTATGCAGAGCAATGCCATCAGCATTTCAATGTCCCCCAACCCTTAGTCTCAGCACTTTGATCCTTACTCTGACAGTTAATAATTTATAAAAACCCTGTAGCCCATGTTGTGAAGACCTGTATCTTATTAGTTAGAGTGCTTGCCTTACAAGCGAGAGGACCCGGGATCGATTCCCGGGCAGGGCGAAACGTTGAACAAGTTTCCTTACTCCACATGCCTGTTTACCTAGCAATAAGTAGAATCCCGGTTGTTAATCGATTGGCAGATCGCTTTTCCGGGAGTAATAAGCCATTCCAAAAAAAAAAATTGGTCATTCAATCCACGACTGTTTTGGGACACTGCTGTGTGCAATTGGCTGCCGTGTTTTACGCACAAAACAGTCAATTCACCTTACAATATATTCTGTGAAGCACTTTGAGATGTCTCAAAGACATGATAAGGCGCTATCAAATGCAAGGATTATTCTTATCTCGAAGCACTTCACAGGATATTGTAAAGACTGTATTTGTGGGAGAAACCGGGCAGCCAGTTGTGCACAGCAACATCCCACAAACAGCTATGGAGTGAATGACATTTTATTTGGGAGATTGTTGGCCACAACACTAAGGAAAAACTCCCTTCTCTTTTTGAATAGTGCCATTAATATTCACCTGAACATGCACACAGGACCTCAGTTTAAGGTCTCATCCAAAAAGGACGGTACCTTGAACAATCCAGTGCACCCACAGCACTGCACTGGAGTGTCAGCTTAGACTAAATGAGGTCAAAGCCCTGACTGTATAAGGTAATGAAAATGCAATTGAAGCAACAAGAAAGAATATATATTCTATGATATAAATATAAATATACACAATTAAATATTGGCATCAACCTCAAAGCAAGTCTTCATAACATGTGGTTCATTCTTCATTGGAGAATGATCGGATTTCATTCATAACAAAAAGCAAGAATTCAGTTCCTCACCTTCACTACAAGTAGAGGATTTTTCCCCTTACGGTTGAGTGAGTTTGACTTCAGTTTCCTCAAACCTTGCTAATTCTAGAAACATTTATTTTTGTTGCCATTTTTTTGCTGAGGAATTTTGTCCCCAGAGCAGTTGATAGGCAACAACAACAACAACAACAAGATTCCATTTATAGAGCGCCTTTCACGTCAGGAGGACGTCCCAAGGCACTGCACAGTTGGGTCATGACCCGAGCAGGGGGGAAATGGTCAGGGTGAGGGGAGGGAAGGGAGGGAGAGAGGAGGGGGGAAATGGTCAGGGTGAGGGGAGGGAAGGGAGGGAGCGAGGAGGAGGAAGAGAGTCGAGAGGGGAGCTGAAGGCACGGTCAAAGAGAAAGGTTTTGAGACCGGCCTTGAAGGAGGAAAGGGAGGAGGCGGCGAAGGCACTGGGGGATGGAGTTCCAGAGCCTGGGGGCTGAGAGGCTGAAGGCCCGACCACCGATGGTAGGGCGGTTGGGGCGGGGGACGTGGAGCAGACCGGAGCCAGAGGAACGGAGGGTACGGGCAGGTAGGTAGGGGGATAGTAGGTTGGAGAGGTAGGAGGGAGCGAGGCCGTGAATGGCCTTGTAGGTGAGGATGAGGATCTTGAAATCAATCCTCTGGGGGATGGGGAGCCAGTGGAGGCGAGCGAGGGTGGGAGTGATGTGATCGCGAAGCCTGGTGCGGGACAGTACACGAGCTGCAGAGTTCTGAATGACAAAAGCACTCAATGGCAAAAGGCAAGATGTTCCTGGAGAATTTTATACCAGCGCCTTGGGACGTCCTCCTGACGTGAAATGCACTTTATAAATGGAATCTTGTTGTTCTTTTTTTTTAGTAATGTATTTACACAAGATAAGAAACTCACATACTCTGAAACAAGATCACACATTGCTTCAGTTTGAAAATACAAAATAAATTTGCTACACTATTCTTAATCACATTTATTAACAGCAGCTTGCATTTATATAACAACAAGATTACATTTGTATAGAGCCTTTCAAGTCGGGAGGACATCCCAAGGCGCTGGACAGTGTACAGCATTTCAGACCCGAGCTGGGGTCAGGGAGGGAGGGGAAGGGGGGTGCCCGATGGCATGGTCGAAGAGGAGGGTTTTGAGGTGGGACTTGAAGGAGGCTAAGGAGGGGGTGAAGTGGAGTGATTAGGGGACGTACTTCATGCAGTACAGCATCTCAAATGAACAAGTAGATATTTTCTATTTGCTAAACTGTGTAACTTCCACAACTCAATACAACTTGATATTGAAGGACTTAACTTACTTTCAGTCGTAATATGCTGTCCAGGATTGTGATGGCTCTGTGGCAACTGAGTGCTTAGACATCAGCTACAGTACCACCAAAATAACCCACATCTGCCTACAAGACTATTCTGTTTGCTGCTAAGATTTATGAATTATTCCAAATAAGGGATTAAAAACAGGACGTCAGCACTTTTTGGAGTGTTCTTACACTAGACATCACAAGTTCTTTTAATCTACCACAAGTAGAGGTTTCCAAGCCAGATGTTAGCCCAAGATTCTTCATCAAGATTACAATTTCAGTCCTTTTGCCAGATGATTTTTTTTCAAAAGAGCTTTTTGGCAATGTCGCTCTCAAAACAAATGCCAAATTGAAACAAATTGTGTCAGCTGTGTTCCTTTTAATGTGATCGATTGCAAACCCCAAAAAAGCTTCTGGAGTAATTCCAAGAATGCATCGCACAACCCATTGATGTGTTTCACTTAATCCCAGATAATTTTTAATGCCGGTAGTTTGAGACGATCAGGAGTTGCTTAGATCAAAAATATAAGAGGAAGTGAAACAGGATGTAATAGCATATATCTGCTCCAAACTTAATCACACCATGTATCTCAGGCGTGATGAATGGGCTGTGAAATAGATGCTATTTTGTGGTGTTGTGTTCAATACAAAATACAGTACAAAATTATATTTGTATAGCGCCTTTCACATCTGGAGGTCGTCCCAAGGCGCTGAAGTCAGGGTTTTGAACCCGAGCGGGGTGGGGGTTTGGGATCAGGGAGGGCGGAGTATAGGGAGGGTAGCCAAAGAGGAGGGTTTTGAGACGTGCCTTGAAGGAGGCATGGGAGGGAGCAAGGAGAAGGGAATGTGGGATGGAATTCCAGAGGGTGGGAAACGAGGGGTTGAAACCCCGACCACTCCACGTCAACATCAGCATTCGGGCAGGTGACATGGAGCAGACAGGTTGATATGGGATTAGCAGATAACAGAGGTAAGGAGCAAAGCCTCACCGGGCCTTTAAGGCGAGGACTTTGAACTCTCTCTCCTTTGGGAATGGGGAGCCAGTGGAGCCGGGCGAGAGTGATGGGGTCACAGAGCCTGGTGTGGGAGAAGACATGAGCTGCCTGATGTGATGAACACATGGATAAGGGCTTCGGCAGCCTGAGGGGAGAGGCAGCAGTGAAGCCGGGAGATGTTGCAGAGCTGGGGGAAGGCAGAGAGGGTCATGGCACGGATGTGGTATGACCTGAATGCAGCACAATAACAATCATCTCTCTCATAAGCCTTCAGTACCTCTAAACTGATGAAGGGCAACTCTGCCATAAGATTGAAACATACACACCCTATCTATTCAGTCACTTTTCCTTTGTCAATGTTTGCTCAGTCTTAATCCTGGCAACATTAGGCATTTTGATCTGAAGCAGTTCCACACAACTTATTTCTGGAGCTCAAAATTCTAAAGCTGACACATCAGGTTTATGTGTATGTTTGAAGCCCACGCAAAACTCATTTTAGTTCTGAAGAATAAAATTTTAAAAAACACTACAGAATTTTGTAAATATGTCGAGAAGTGGGACTCCACCCCAAGTTAAACTGCGCAGTTATGCACTAGAAAATTTTCCTTTGGGCTGAGTGGTTTCTGATGACAGAGCTCTCTATCAACCTCAAAAGAGAGCGTAATAAACATTTTACTTAGGCATCAAATAAATAGTGGGAGGCAGAGGAAGTCATTCTGATACTATTTCAATCTAAGGAGGGTAAATTATTTAACTACATTTACCTACCTTTTAACTATGTTCACCTACAAAAGTCATTACACTGTACAGTAAAACCTGTGAAGCACTTCAAGACACCTTCTTGACACGAAAGGTGCAAAATCAAATGCAAAGGGTTATTATTTTCCTTGTAGATAGAAATTCTGTTTCATCCAATTCTCCAGTTAAGTGGAAAAAAAATAATATGAAACAAGACTATTAGATGACTGAAGGCTTGATTATGCATACACATGCTGAGGAATAAACAGCAATAACAGCCTGTTTATGGATTTAGGTTAGGTTTGGGGAGGACAAATTTGCCGGGATACGGGGAGAGCCGAGGCGTGGGATTGAATTGGATAGCTCTTTTCAAAGAGCTGGCACAGACACGATGGGCCAAATGGCCTTCTTCTGTGCTGTATAATTCTATGATTCTATAAGATATTTGCCCTGACTTTGATCACATTTCGCATACATAATATAGTCAATTCACTTTACAATATATTCTGTGAAGCGCTTTGAGATGTCTCAAAGATGTGATAAGGGGCTATATAAAATGCAAGGATTATTATTATAGAAGGTTCTCTGTTACAATTATTAAGCTTAATGTCTTGCTCCAGGCTTCAATTGGCTTAGTATTTTAGAATTTCCAAAATTTACCCTGAAGGAATAAATCAAGACTACCAGGATTTCACAGCAGCTTCTTAAAAGATGAAATTACCAATTTTAGTAAATAACCCAACAGAACAGATTGGTAGCAACTAAAACATTATTGACAACCACCAGCGTGGGCCCCTTACATTCCACCCTCAATACAATCCTGGCCGGCTATGGCAGGTGATAAATCTTAGTTTTTGAACTGCACCAGTTTGGAATGTGCAGTTCATTAGATATCCCCCAGATGTCTCTTTTCCAGCTACTTCAAGACATGAGCAAGGTTTGAGGCACCAATGTATTGGGGCTTTAAAACACCTGTAGAAAACTATTCCTGTCCTATAGTTTTGAAAAAACATGATGAAGATAAGTTTGAAGTTAAAGCTTAGTTTAACATTAATTTTTATTCTTCCACCTTTAGTCACACATACTTTACCTCCTGGTTGCTTGCAAAATGATCAGATGATAAACACTGGAAGTCTATGTGGCTCAGAAATAAAATGGAAACCGCACAGCACAATATTTTTGGGCCAAAAAATAATCGATTTACATTACACTATGTTCTGTGAAGACTTTGATATGTCTCAACTATGTGATAAGGCCCCAAATCAAATGCAAAGATTATTATTTCTCCAAACAGGACCTCCCTAATTATTAAGGCTTTGCTTGCAGAATGTCTACTATTTACACTCTGAAGTTTCATTGATGACCAGACAGGAAGGGCAACTATCCAGACTGCTTTGGATTAGAGTTGGCCTGGATTTCTTTGCCAGTCTCCTTCAATTCAGTTTATTTTGTTGTTGTTGCTGCGTAGTTATCAGGAGTAGACTTGCACTAGAACAATCAAATATAAACATTTTAAATTTTATTTACTTTTGACAAAATAAAGCAGGAAGTTAGAAACTTAAAATACTTTACAGATCACAGAACTCTTGTTCATATAGACATGATGAAAAAAATCTAGTTGAGAGTTGAGGCATCATCCAACATGACATTCATAAAGCCTTTCAAAAGTAATCTAAATTCATTGGATGCAAAACAATTTCCAAGTTTAGAAGACAATGATAATAATTCCATTTGATATAGCGCCTTATCATGTCTTTGAGACGTCTCAAAAGCGCTTCACAAAATATACACAGTAAAGTGAATTGACTATATTTTGTGGGTGTAAAAGAAGTCAAGAACTGAGAGATCGAGCTATTTTCAGGAATAGACAAATACAGGATTCTCCAGAAGTTTAGAAATCACGTTTTCACGCAATATATTCTTTTTAGGTTTGGGAAAAAAAGGCTGTTCATTACTGCCCAAGGAAAGAGGCCATAGGATCTTCGGGTCGCTGGCGCTTCATTCTGAACGCCTCCATTTCTTCCTCTGTTGGTTCCTTAGTTTCATATATGGTGTTGTAAGCCCTCTTCCGCTCGTCCAACTGTAAAGTTTGTTCAACTTGTTTCAGACGAGCCTCTTCAGCAATCAGTGCCTGAGCGAGAAGACAAAACGTCAAGCCCATTCATATAACTACACTCCAATATCACAAACACATCACTTCCAAAATTTCTAATATACACAGCACATGGTACCATGTTAACTGTGCTGTCTAGTTGGTGATGCACTAGGAATATAAAACAGGTTTGGAGTCTACTCCTGATACTTCGCAAGTAGTCCACTAACAGGACACGTGGTCCTAACTGGACAAACAATAAACTGACTTGAAGGAGATTGGCAAAGAAATACAGGAATGTCACAGGGAAAATTATTCAATAAACTGAATTAGTCATATATCCGGTATTCAGTTAACCGATCTAGATTTTTAGATAAGGTGTACAAATGGTTTGGGATTTTGAAATTTTATTCAATAAACTGAACTATTCAACCATCCGATATTTCATTAACCAAATTTCAATGTACACTGTTATGTGTTCAATTTCCTGATTGATTTGATAATGCAAATAATTTTATATTTTTAACTATTCCATACCTCTAAGTTAGGATTGCCATTGTAAGGGTTAAAAATATCATGAATTTTCAGTATCTTGTTTCTAGCATTCAAATTGAGGAGTCTTGTTAGATGTAGATCAAGCACTTCAGATTTGAAGGATCTTTAGAATTTAATCAGATATCTAAATGACAGGCAAGGCGAACAGATTTAGATATGCATAACCTCTTTTATTAAATGCAACACCTGAACCAAATTTATAATCAGTGAGTCCCCCGCTTTGGGCCAATGACATTTAGTTTGTGTATCAAAGAATTATATAAAGGCGCTGTACAAATGTAAGCTTCTTGTTATTCATACAAATTATATTTAGTTTTACCCTCCCTGCCTGCCACCCCTCCTGATCCCAACCCCCTGCTCCAGTCCAAATCTCTGACTGTCCAGCGCCTTGGGACTTCCTCCTGATGTGAAAGACGTTAAACAAATGTTCCTAAATTGATTGAAATAATTCATATTGGATACTGCATATTAAAATCACAAAAATGTTAATCAACAGCAGACAGGATGCAATACTAGCCATCATTTTGATTTTCTCACAATTCAAACACACATCCATAACTTTCATTAACAATTCATTGGAATTATTCATTTTAGTTATTTTGGTTATGCTGAGTCTAAGAGCTATTCCAAATAAAATCTTGGGGAGAAATGCCTGGTACATTTATGCTTCGCTGATGCCTTTTATTACAGCATAACAGTATCAAGCACCATTAAGTGGTGAACCAGGACATTCAATGCACCAAAGTTACATCAGAGAATTCTTCTTCAATATGTAGATCTAATCCACATTGAAAATAAAAACGGGTTTATCACACCTTCTGTGAACTGTATAAAATCCTGCACAGAGAGACATCACAATTTATTATACACGATTTCCACAAATGACAACAGCAATGCTAACCAATTACAATTCTGATTCCAGGATGAATGGAGGTGCCACAGTATGTGTTGCCAATTACTTTTCCAATTTGAAATCTGTTATCATGAAAGAGCAGCTTGCAGAGGGACTTAAAGGGTATAATTAAAATTTCAGGATTCTGTTGGCATTCAAAAACTATATTCCTGAAATTTAGAGCATGATCGTAGGTCTATAATTGAATTGAAACTACAATTTCTTCACAATATCACACAATTATCCTGTTAAGTAACATGAAAAGCAATTCATGTCTCAGAGATGAAACTGGAGAGGGAGAGATTTAGGGAGAGTTCCAATATGCAGGCACAAAGTGGCTGAAAGCTCAGCTACCAATGTTGAAATGGGCAAAGAGCAGGCCTGAGTTACCAGAAAGGAAGGAGTGTGTGTGTGTTGGGGGGGGGGGGGGGGGGAAAGAGTATGACAGAGGAGATGATGGAGATTAAGTTTGGGCAAGGCTGTGATTATCTTAAAGAATTAAGGACAGGATGAAGATTTCAAAATCAATCCACTGTGTAGCTCAGAGGTAGTGGAGCTATATAAAAGTAAATTTGTATTGTATTAGAACATAAGAATTAGTAGCAGGAGTAGGCTATTCGGCCCCTCGAGCCTGCCCCGCCATTCGATAAGATCATGGCTGATCTTCAGACCTAACTCTAATTACCTGCCCTATCCCCATATCCCCTAATCCCTCTATTTTTTAAAAATCTATCAGTCTCAGCCTTGAAGATGTTCAGGACTGAGCATCTACAGCCTTCTGGGGTAGTGAATTCCATAAATTCACTACCCTCCGAGTGAAGAAATGTTTCTTCAAATCTGTTCTAAAAGGCTGACCCTTAATTTTAAGACTGTGACCCCTGATTATAGATTCTCCTACCAGCGGAAACAGACCCTCAGTGTCTACTCTATCCAGCCCTTTAAGAATCTTATATATGTTTCAATAAGATCTCCCCTAATTCTTCTGATACTCTAGAGAATATAGCCCTAGTTTATTCAGACTCTCCTCATAGGTCAGTCCCTTCATCCCAGGAACTAACGTAGTGAATCTACGAGGGTAGAGGAAATAGATAAGATTACTATAGACAGAGAGGAAGTTCTGAAAAGATTGACTGGGCTCAAAATTGATAAGTCACCAGGACCAGATGGGTTTCACCCAAGGTTGCTGTGAGAGATACGGGTTCAAATAGCGGAGGCTTTGGCCATTATATTTCAATCTTCACTGAACACAGGAGTGGTGCCAAGAGACTGGAGAGTGGCTAATGTTACCCCCCTCTACAAAAAGGGGCAGAAAGACAAACCCGGAAATTACAGGCCAGTCAGCCTAACTTCGGTAATAGGAAAACTACTGGAGACCATAATCCGGGACAGAATAAATCTCTACTTAGAGGAACATGAGGTAATTAGAGACAGCCAACGTGGATTTGTTAAAGGCAAATCTTGCCTAACAAATCTAATAGAATTTTTTGAAGAGGTGACTGCGAGGGTTGATGAGGGAAATGCGGTGGACAACAACAACAAGATTCCATTTATAAAGCGCCTTTCACGTCAGGAGGACGTCCCAAGGCGCTGCACAGTTGGGTCAGGACCTGAGCAGGGGGAAATGGTCAGGGTGAGGGGAGGGAAGGGAGGGAGCGAGGAGGGGGGAAATAGTCAGGGTGAGGAGAGGGAAGGGAGGGAGCGAGGAGGGGGAAGAGAGTCAAGAGGGGAGCTGAAGGCTCGGTCAAAGAGAAAGATTTTGAGACCGGCCTTGAAGGAGGAAAGGGAGGAAGCGGCGAAGGCACTGGGGGATGGAGTTCCAGAGCCTGGGGGCTGAGAGGCTGAAGGCCCGACCACCGATGGTAGGGCGGTTGGGGTGGGGGACGTGGAGCAGACCGGAGCCGGAGGAACGGAGGGTACGGGCAGGTAGGTAGGGGGATAGTAGGTCAGAGAGGTAGGAGGGAGCAAGGCCGTGAATGGCCTTGTAGGTGAGGATGAGGATCTTGAAATCAATCCTCTGGGGGATGGGGAGCCAGTGGAGGCGAGCGAGGGTGGGTGTGATGTGGTCCCGAAGCCTGGTGCGGGACAGTACACGAGCTATTATTTACGTTATTTACATGGATTTCAAAAAGGCTTTTGACACAGTACTGCATAAGAGATTAATAAAAAAAGAGGCCCACGGTATTAAGGGTCAGTGGCAGTTTGGATTAAGAACTGGCTGAGCGACAGAAAGCAGAGGGTGGTGGTTAATGGGTGTTTCTCGAAATGGAAGGAGGTGTGCAGCGGTGTCCCCCAGGGATCGGTATTGGGACCACTGCTCTTTCTAATATATATTAACGATCTGGACTTGGGCATAGAGAGCACTATTTCCACGTTTGCAGGTGATACAAAGTTAGGTAGGGTAGTAAATAGGGAGGAGGTCTGTAACCAACTGCAAGCAGACATACACAGAATGGTGGAATGGGCTGACATGTGGCAGATGGATTTCAATGTGGATAAGTGTGAGGTGATACACTTAGATAGGAAAAATGATAGGAGGCAATATAGACTTGGTAGCTCAATCTTAAGGGGGGTGAACGTACAGAGAGATCTGGGTGTTCAAGTAAGCGAATCATTAAAGGTAGCGGGGCAGGTAGATAAGGCAGTAAAAAAGGCATTTGGTGTACTGAGCTTTATTAGTAGGGGCATAGAGTATAAGAGTAGGGAGGTTATGGTTAATCTATACAAAACACTGGTTAGGCCTCAGCTGAAGTACTGCGTCGAGTTCTGGGCACCTTACTTCAGGAAGGACATTAAGGCACTGGAAAGGGTGCAGAGGAGATTCACGAGAATGATACCAGGAATGGGGAACCTTAGCTATGAGGACAGGCTGGAGAAGTTAGGACTTTTCCCATCAGAGCAGAGAAGGTTGCACGAGGACCTGATAGAGGTCTTCAAGATCATGAAAGGTTTCGACAGACGAGACAGGGAAAAGCTGTTTCCGCTGGTAGGTGTGTCTGTGACCCGTGGTCACAGTCTTAAGATATCTACCAAAAGAAGCAGAGGGGAGGTTAGAAGAAATTTTTTCACTCAGCGACTTGTTTGAATTTGGAATGATCTGCCTGAAAGGGTAGTGAAGTCCGATTCGATAACAGCTTTTAAGAGAGAACTGGATAGGTATCTGGGAAGACGGGTTTGTAGGGTTATGGGGAGAAAGCTGGTGATTGGGGTTAGTGAAAGTGACTTGCTCTGTCAAAGAGCCGCACAGACTCGATGGGCCGAATGGCCTCCTTCTGTGCCATAAAATTCTATGAATAAAAAAATCTATGAATCTCTGAAAATAAGGAGACTAAAACTGCACACAATATTCAAGGTGCGGTCTCACCTTTCTACATTTCTACAGTTGCAGCAAGACTTCCCTACTCTTGTACTCTAAACCTTTTGCAATGAACGCTAACATGCCATTCGCCTTCTTAGTTGCTGCTGCACCTGCAAACTAACTTTTTGAGACTGGTGTACAAGGACACCCAAATCCCTCTGAACACTAACACTATCTAATCTCTCCCCCTCTAGAAAATAATCTGTTTTTCTATTTTTTCTGCCGAGGTGAATAACTTCACACTTCCCCACATTAAATTCCATCTGCCACCTACTCGCCCACTCCCCTAACCTATCTATATCCCGTTGCAATCTTTTTGCATCATCCTCAGAGCTTACTCTCCCACTTAGTTTAGTGTCATCCGCGAATTTAGATACGTTACATTCAATGTCCTCGTCTAGATCATTGATGTAAATTGTAAATAGCTGAGGCCCAAGCACTGATCCTTGTGGCACTCCACTAGTCACATCCTGCCAATTCGAGAATGACCCGTTTATCCCTACTCTCTGTTTTCTACCCGTTAGCCACTCTTCAATCCATGCTAATATGTTCCCATTAATCCTGTGGGCCTTAACCTTGTGCAATAGCCTTTTGTGTGGCACTTTGTCAAATGCCTTTTTAAAATCTAAATATACTACATCTACTGGTTCCCCCTATCTAACCTGTTCGATACATCTTCAAAAAACTCTAAAAGATTAGTTAAGCATGACTTCCCTTTTGTAAAGCCATGTTGACTCTGCCTAATCTTGTTATGGTCTTCCAGGAATCCCATAACAACATCTTTAATTAAGGACTCAAGAATTTTCCCTACAACTGATGTCAGACTAACTGGTCTATAGTTCCCATCTTTTCTCTCCCACCCTTCTTAAATAGTGGTGTTACGTTTACAATCTTCCAATCAATGGGAACCGTTCCAGAATCCAGAGAATTTTGGAAGATCAAAGACAAGCCATCCACTATCTCAGTAGCCACCTCTTTTAAAACCCTAGGATGTAGGCCATCAGGTCCAGGAGATTTATCAGTTTTAAGACCTGACAATTTACCTAAAACCATTTCTTTACTAATATTAATTCCCCAAGTTGCTCGCTAACATTGCTTCTTGGTTCCCCTCTATTCTTGGTAGGTTTTCAGTGTCTTCTAAGGTGAAGATAGTAGCAAAGTACTTGTTTAATGACTCTGCCATGTCTTTGTCCCCTAATATAATTCCCCCCGTCTCTACCTGTAGCGGACCCACATTTACCTTTGACAGCCTCTTCCTCTTTATATATTTATAAAAACTCTTGCAGTTTGTCCTCATATTCCATTTTCTCCCTCTTAATCACTTTTTTGGTTCTCTTTTGTTGATCCCTAAAGTTCTCCCAATCCTCGGGTTTACTATTCATCTTAGCTGTTTTATAGGCTTCTTCCTTTAACTTTATACTTTCCCTAACTGCTCTAGTTAGCCACGGTTGGGCCACCTTTCCCATGGCATTCTTATTCCTCAAAGGAATACGTGCTCGCTGGGAATTTTGCACTATCTCCTTAAACGTCTGCCATTGCTGGTCTACTGTCAAATCCTTAAGTCTAATTTTCCAGTTTATTTTGGCTAAATCCTCTCTCATACCAGCAAAATTGGCTCTACTTAAATTTAAAACCTTTGCTTCGGACTTAACTACTTCTCTCTCTAACGTAATGCTAAATTCCATCATATTATGATCACTTTGCCCTCGAGGAGCCTTAATTTCCAGTTTGCTGATCAGCCCTGCTTCATTGCACAAAAGATCTAATATGGCCTGTTCCCTGGCTGGCTCCTCGGCATACTGATCTAGATAATTATCCCTAATACATTCTATAAACTCTTCCTCTATCATATTTTTCCCAATTTAGTTGTCCCAATCTATGTGCAGATGAAAATTACCCACAATTAATGTTTTTCCCTTTCTACATGGTCTGCTAATTTCCTGATTTATACCTTGAGCGATACTGTTGACTGCTGTTTGGGGGTCTATAAACTACTCCCACTAGAGTTTTCTGCCCCTTGTTGTTACGTACCTCTACCCATACTGACTACTTCCTGCTTTTCTGATTTAAAATCTTTCCTCTCTACTGTTTTTATCCCATCCTTTATTAGCAGGGCCACCCCCACTCCTCATTTATCACATTGCCTATCTTTCCTATACACCATGTAACCTGGAATATTTAGCTCCCACCCTTGATCTCCCTATAACCATGTCTCGGTGATGGCTACTAGATCATACCCGTTTGTTTCTATTTGTGCATTTAACTCATCTATCTTGTTTCGAATGCTTCGCACATTTAGATATAACACCTTTAATTCTGACTTCAGGCTATTAGTCCTATTCACCAGTACCCTATCCCTGGGCTTCCTTTTCCTACTTGACACACTTTGCTCATCTCCCTGGTTTATCTGCTTTCCCACTTTCATCGGTCCTAACTGTGACGGATTACATGTGATTGTATTTACCCACCCTCCCCTTAGTAGCCCTGTCTACCTCCCTATTTATTTGTGCTGCCAAGACATTTGTCCCAGCCCTGTTTAGGTGGAGTCCATTCCTTTGGAATAGCTCCGGTCTCCCCCAATACTGGTGCCAGTGGCCTATAAAGTGAAACCCCTGCCCTCTGCACCATTCTTTTAGTCAGGTATTCAGCACTTAATTTTTTTTTTTGCCTGTACCAATTTGCCCCTGGCTCAGGTAATAATCCCGATATTAATACCTTCAAAGTTCTACTCTTTAGCTTAACTCCTAATTCCCAGAACTTGCTCCTCAACTTGTCCCCAGCTGTCCTACCTACATCATTGGTCCCTATGTGAATCATAACTATTGGATCCACTCCCTCCTGCTTCAAATTTTTCTCCAGCCCAGAAGTGACGTCCTTCACCCTGACCACAGGAAGGCAACAGAGTCTTCTTGTATTGTGGGATGGTGATGGGGGGGGGGGCACTACAAACAGCAGCCTACCTCATAAAACCGCCTCTGCCGGCTGTTTACTCAACGCTATTGTGGGCGGAGAGACTCCGGACACACAAGTGGGAAATGGTCATCGCTCCACTCGGAAGCCCCGCTGTTGAGATTGTCTGTGTGTGTGTTTGTGAGTGTCTCTATGTAAGTGTGTCTCTCTCCTCTGTATGTGTTCGTGAGTGTCTATATGAGTGTGTCTCTCTTGTGTGTGTGTGTGTGTGCGTCTGTGTGAGTAATTCTCTCCTCTGTATGTATGCGTTTGTGAGTGTCTGTGTGTGCCTCTTCTCTATGTGTGAGTTTACGTGTCTCTGGGTGAATGTATATGTCTCTCTCCTCTGTTTGCGTGTGGCTATGAATGTGTGCATCTCTCTCTCAGATTGTGTGTCTCTCTGTGTCTGTGAGTGTGTGTGTGTCTGTGTGGTGCTGGGCCCTGAGAGGCAGGTGGTGGTGAGTTCCTGTAGCCCCGCAGTTAGGACACTGGTCCTGAGGGTCTGTTTTGTGGCAGATCAAATGCGTTTGTCAAATGGGCCACCCAGTTTTTGTTGAAGAAATTAATATATTTTTTGCCACAATCTAATAATGTGTTATTTCCTCATGTTTAGTTTTAATCAATAAAATGAAAAAAGTAGCTTGGCAGTGAAATGTACCTCAACAGCACCAATCAACATCCCGCAATTTTGGGCAAACATTTCTGCAATTTTCCATTGGCCCTGGTGATGGGTACTACATTAGATGATTGCATTTAAACTTTCAATACAATTCAACAGGTTTTGAACACAGGCACTGTAGGGAAACTAATTGCCACCCACACTCAGATCAGCAAACTCAGGAGAGATCAGAGGTAAACAAACAATCTGTGACCCTGTGTCTCTGTACGGCTCAGTTTCACAATGGACAATGAAACACAATGATCAAGTGAGCCTTTGGAGCCAAACATTATTTTTTAACAAACGATTAAATACTAGGCAGCATCGGTCAAATCAGACATTTACCAGAAGAGGAATTATTAAACTAAACTGAAAAATAACAGAACATATGTAATGTACCTTTTTCAGTTTTTCTTTCTTCTTTGCGTCATCAGCTTCACTATCTGAGCTGTGACTCTTCCTATGTTTCTTCTTTTTTTTCTTCCTTTCTTCCTTTTGCTTTTCTTTGTGCATCTGTAACCAATACAAGTGGCTGTTAAAGCAGTGTGAAATGCAAAAAGTTTTGAATTTGAATGCTGATTTTCAAACTCCTTTGACATTTTGTATGATTTAACAAGACCAACAAACCAGTGCAAGAATACTTGAAACATTTTTTTTAACAATCATAATTATTAACATTACAAAAAGCCCACCTATCTGAAACCATAGCTGCTTTAAATAGTCCTGGCATTGAGCTGCTACAAATATTCAAAGTGGAATTTGATTTCTGTCAGCAGGATATACCATCACGGAGGGCATTAAAAACAAGAACGATCTGTATCTTCTGCAATTATCAGTGATAAGGGACAAATGATCAGTCATAGAATCACAGAATTATACAGCACAGGAGGAGGCCATTCGCCCCATCGTGTCTGTGCCGGCTCTTTGAAAAGAACTATCCAATTCAATCCCATACCCCCACTCTCCCCCCATAACCCTGCAAACTTGTCCTCCTCAAATAATTATCTACTTCTCTCTTAAAAGTTGTTATCGAATCGGCTTCCACCACTCTTTCAGGCAGTGCCTTCCAAATCAAAACAACTCGCTGTGTGAAAAAAATTTCTCCTCACCTCCCCTCTGCTCCTTTTAACAACTATTTTAAATCGGTTCCTCGGGTTACTGACCCACCCGCCAGCGGAAGTAGTTTCTTCTTGTTCACCCTATCGAATACCCTCATAATTTTGAAAACTTCCACTAAGTCTCCTCTTAACCTTCTCTGCTCCAAGGAGAATAATCCGAGCTTCTCTCGCCTCTCCTGATAACTGAAGTCCCTCATTCCTGGTACCATCCCGGTATATCTCCTTTGCACCCTCTCCAATGCCTTGACATCCTTCCTAAAGTGTGGTGCCCAGACCTGAACACAGCTTTATCTACTGTCCTGCCACCTTCAAATATTTACTTACATGAATTCCCCAGATCTCTCTGTTCCTTCACCCCCTTTAAGATTGTACCATCTGGCTAAGATTGCCTCTCCTCATTCTTCCTCCAAAATGCATCACCATATTTCTCTACATTAAACTTCATCTGCCACATGTTTGTCCATTTTACCAGTCCATCTATGCCCATTTGCAGTCTGCTACTATCCTCATCACTATTTACTACTTTTCCTAGCTTAGTATCATGATAATGGCCTAAAATAAAAAAAATCAGATTAACACTACCAAATAATTACACATATTAATTTGAAAGGTATTATTTAATTCCATTTGACATGAATTCATTTGCATACAACACAGTGATCTCAGCTGAGTACTTGCCTCCACAAGTGTTTTGGGCACGCTCTGCAATTCTTGTTCATCTATTTCCGGAATTTCAAGGGGACACTGAGGACCCTCCTTCAAAATCAATCAGAGAAACACAAGCACATTTTACAATGTGGACAATAGATTTCATGCAATAAAATCAACCTTTAGAATTTTTTCCCCACAATGCTTTTTAGCAACTTTTCACTTGATATTTAACAATTTTCTGATTTGAAATCTTTTAAAACATTTTCCTTTTCAACCAGACAACTGGAGGTTACACGAGCATCGAATATTTCTGCTGCTTTCTTTAGGTGCCCCCAGTGCTGCTCACTTTTAATTTACCTTTCTTCATTCCAAAGACACAATGAGATAGTGGGTACAAATGTTAACAGTAGTAAACAGCCAAGGACAATTTATGTGAACTACCTAAGAAGACAGGGTGAGAGAAGTGATGAATTACTCTGCATCAACTTCCTAGGAACGTATGATAAAGGCACCCAATAAAAGCTATATATACGCACATATATTAAAAAANGGCACTCAATTCATAATTGTTTTGTGAGACACTGCAGTGTGCAATTGGCTGCCGAATTTCGCCCACAAAATTCACAGTCAATTCACTTTACAGTATATTCTTTGAAGCCCTTTGAGATGTCTCGAAGATGTGATAAGGCGCTATATCAAATGCAAGGATTATTATTAATATCTAAGACTGGAAAGCAGTGAATCTAAAACAGACAGCAAACAGTTATAAATTAATCAATAAGCATGCTAATCCTGATTAAAAAACCTTACTAAAAGTCTACAGTGGTTCTACAATTTAACTATTGAAAACTGTCAAAGGTTATAGCATGAAGAGGACAAGACTTACAACTGTATTCTTTCCTGCTTCTCCAGTACAGTACGACATTTTCACACACGAGTAGCAACACTTGTAGCCCCATCTTCCTTCTTTCCAGTAGGAGCCCCAAACACTCTTAAAAAAAAATCAGAATGATCACAATAGACGCCAGCACTATCTGGTGCAAGATGCAATTTAACAATTTCCAAAGAATCAAACCTCTCTCTTGGACCAGGCCTTTAACTACCTCCCGCCCAAATTTCTAGACTACTATAGCTGTAATTCAGATGGCAATGCAGTGAAGTAGTAAAATGGATAAACTAGATTTCTAAGAGACAAATCTTTTTTTAAACAGCAAAGTAATGTCACTCACTGTGTGATTATTTATCAGGGCATCCTCTTCATACTTGGACTGTACAACAGCTCTCTCCTGGCCCTTTATCACAGCACCATGCCTTGAATACTCCACATAATCTTCAGTCTGGGCTAAGAGGAGCTCACGAGGTGGTGCATCCAAGTGTTCCTGACCTCCATACTGGAAATAGAGGATATTAAGGAATTGAAGAAACTATTTAAAGTTTAATCTAGAAAAGTTCTAAAAGTAATGGGTAGAAAAAAATGGATTGAAGTCTGAGAAGTCAGAATTAATATGATCGGCGATGGTTGTGGTTTTTTGTGCTCAACGTTAAAATAGGGGTTTGAAGTGATTGAACCCAAGATTGTGTGGGTCCGTCTGTATTGCTCAGTTTCACTCTGGAATAATGACCATCAAATGAGCCCTGGTAGAACAGTTTTGCTCCTAATGATTTACCTTAATTTGCGATTCAAATTTGGCATCCGCAAATAAAACAAAAATAAACACACTCTCCAAAATCACATCAGTGCTACAGAAAAGTTTACCATCTTTCAATTTGCTTTAACAAGCTGCCAGAAATTTGAATTAAAAAAAAAATTCCCCTCCCAATCAGCACTTTTTTTTTAAAAAAAAGGCAGCATCCAAAAAACACATCTAAATAGCCTAAGACCCTAAGCACAGCTGCTTTGCAGCAATTATACTGTGTAGATTTTAAAGTGTTTTAATGTTCTAATCAGGCTGCAGATGGAGTACCACGTAGTTATGGTTGGCACTACCTCAGGAGCTCTGTAGGCTCTTGAGACAGTTCAGAGGAGAACAATGATGATAAGGGATTCTATACGTTTGTTGCTGGGATCTAACATTCGTAATAGTAGCCACAAGCCTCGATTCCTGTTGGTAACTGGAGGTGCATCAAACAATACAATTTGTGTATGTCTGGACCCACTCTAGAATAGCCTTAATATTTTACCTTCTCCAATATGCTTCCTTTCTGCTGTTTCTCAAATTCTTCTTTCTTAACCTTAAAGGATTGGTGAAGGACTTCGAGCTTGGTAGGATCAGCTTGGAGGTGCACTTCGGAACCTTTCTCATAGGCCTCCCACGCAAATACTGTCACAAGAAGGAAACAAATTCACAATCATGCCATCAAGTCACATGGTCACAAAAACATATAGAAAGAAAAAATCAATTTATAATACAAGCAGCAAGAATCTTACATTGTGTCTGTGCCATTCTGACAGTGTCACCCGAATAACGTACAAAGTTATCTCCTGCGTAGCCAACCCTAGAAAAAATATACAAATTATGATTAATATTTCATCGCTGAGATTTCATGAATATGGACAACATTGCTCATTCATGCCACCACATTACATAAGGTTTTAGTTTTCACCAACCTTCCTCAAAACATATTCATCCTGAGATATTTGGAGCATGTCTAGGTAGGATCCCAAATAAACTAATACTTCCAAATTAGACAATAAAATTATAGCAGTCAGTTTATAATTGATAGACACATCTGAGTGATTGAGTCAAGTTTCTGTCAAATTGAAAGTTTGACACTGGGCCTCAGCGGCTTTATAGGAAGTGGCTTGCAGCTGATAGGGTATTTAGTTATTTTCTGTCAAGAATTTGTCTCGACTGTTGAGCAGAACATTAACATTACACTTTCATTACTGACATGCTAAGGGGCTACAGGTATCTTGGAAATGGATATACAAAATGAAATGCATATACAAAATTTGAAAAGTGAATGAATGTCTGAAAAAGTATTCATTTTACAGATTAACAACAGAATCCACATCTTAATCGATAAAGACTGTTTATGTTTATGCCCCTGCCTAAACAAAAGTTTTGTTAAATTATACACAATTTAACATTGTAATAAACAAGATGTTAAAGTAAGGTCTTTCACTGAGTGGTAAAGAGCATTTTGCACAGTTGAGGGACACAATGTACTGATCTCAGTTTGGGCGGGATCCCATCACACCCCTTCTGTTGGGAAGAGACTGATCCCGAGGTCTCTTTTGGCTCAGAATATTGACCTAATCTAACCTTTTAATACAATAGATACAAACTTGTCCATAAGCCAAATATTTTCATGCTTATATTCCTCTTGCTAACTCTTAGTCTTTTGATCTTGTGACCCACATAGAAGGCTAAGTGAGCGTTCAATAGCTCATTTCATGTGAAAGGAAATTAAGCTGTATGCACAAAACAAAAGGTCACCCTGCTACCCAGAAAACAAACACACTGATATTAATTAGTACCTGAAGCATGGTTTTGACATGTTGTCTATTGTTGCCAGATGTGCTTAAGCAATATGAAGGGTTGTTCTTAACTTTGTGTACAGAGAAACATATGGTGGATATAATACAGACTCATGGGTGGATCTGTTACATCATGGTCAACATAAAGGGGAATGCAATGTGAAGTCATCTTTATGAATTAAGAAAATCTTCAAGAAATTAGCTCATTGCATCTCAAGAAAAACACTCCTCTCAGGAGTTATTCAACAACAAGAACAAAATTACATTTGAATAGGTTCTTTCACGTCGGGAGGACGTCCCAAGGCGCTGGACAGGCAGTGTTTCGGACCCGAGCTGGGGTGCTGGGATTGAGGAGGGTGGAGGGCAGGGGTGGGAAGGAGGATGATCGAAAGCAGTCGAAGAGGAGGGCCTTGAGATGGGTCTTGAAGGAGGCAAGGGAGGGGGCGAGGCAGAGGGATTGCGGGATGGAGTTCCAGCGGGTGGGGGCAGAGTGACAGAAGGCCAGACCACCAATGGTGGGGCAGGAGACGTGAAGCAGGCCGGAGCCCACTGAGTGGAGGGAGCGGGCAGGATGGTAGGGGGTTAAGAGGTCAGAGGTAAGGAGGAGCGAGGCTACGCAGGGCTTTGAAAGTGAGGACCACAATCTTGAACTGTATCCTCTGTATGATGGGCGAGGATGGGGGTGATAGGGTCACGGAACCTGGTGCGGGAGAGGACACGGACTGCAGAGCTCTGGACGATCTGCAGCCTGTGGAGAGAGGAGTTGGGGAGGCCGACAAGCAATGAGTTTGCATAGTCAAGCCTGGATGCTATGAATGTGTGTATGAGGGTTTTGGTGGCCTGTGGTGTGAGACAGTGGCGGAGCCAGGCGATGTTGCGGAGGCGGGGGAAGGCAGAGCGGGTCATGGCACGGATGTCGGGTAGAAAGGGTAACTGAGGGTTAAACAAGACTCCAAGGTTCCAGACTGGCTTAGTATGGTGAAGTGTTCATCCGTCGATGGTGATGCTGTTAGCGCCCGAGTTGTGGAGATGCTGACGGGAGCAAATTGGGAAGGCCTCAGTCTTGCTGACGTTCAACTGAAGAAAGTTAGCTCTCATCCAGGTCTTGAGGTCTGGCAGACATTCTATCAGGACAGCAGTGGTCCTGGAGTCAAGGGTGGAGGCTGAGAAGTGCAGTTGGGTGTCAACCACATACACGTGGAAGTTCATCCCACGTCTGCGGATGATGTCACCAAAAGGGAGCATATAGATATTGAAGAGGAGGGGACCAAGGACAGGGTTCTGAGGAACGCCGCACAAGATGGTGCAGGGACTAGAGGAGAAACCGTTTGTGGAGATGAAGAGGTACGTGAGAGGTACGATCTGAACCAGTCAAAGACAGAACCATGAAGGTTGAGGTGAGAGGAGAGGCGGTGGATAGGATAGAGTGGTCAACGGTATCGAAATCAGCAGAGAGGTCAAGGAGGACGAGGAGGCAGAGGAAGCTCAGGTCGCAGATGGACAGAATGTCATTTGTCACTTTGACCAGGGCTGTTTTTGTGCTGTGGGCGGCACGGAATCCCGATTGAAGGGGTTTAACATATAACATAACATGTAGGAGCAGATGTAGGCCATTCGGCCCTTCCAGCCTGCCCCGCCATTCAATCATGGCTGATCTTCTAATCTAACTCCAGCTAATAACCTGACCCTGCCTTATCCCCATATCCCTTAATACCTTTTGCAATAAAAATGTATCTATCGCAAGTCTTGAATATGTTCAAGGACTGAGCGTCAACAGCCCTTTGGGGTAGTGAGTTTCATACATTCACCACCCTTTGAGTGAAAAAGTTCTTCCTCAACTCAGTGCGAAAGGGTTGGCCTCTGATTTTAAGGCTGTGACTCCTGGTTTTAGTTTCTCCAACCAGGGGAAACAATCTCCCACTATCTACTCTATCATGCCCTTTGATGATCTTATAGGTTTCTATAAGATCCCCTCTAATTCTTCTATATTCTAGAGAATATAGGCCCAAATTGGTCAGCCTATCCTCGTAACTCACCCCCTTCATCCCTGGCACTAACCTAGTAAATCTACACTGCACCCCCTCCAAGGAAGTACATCCTTCCTTAAATAAGGAGAGCAAAACTGGATGCAGTATTCCAGGTGTGGTCTCACCAGGGCCCTATACAGTTGCAGCAAGACTTCCCTACTCTTATACTCTAATCCTTTCATAATGAATGCTAACATACCGTTCACCTTCCTAATTGCTGCTGCACCTGCAGACTAACTTTCTGTGATTGGTGTACAAGGACACCCAAGTCCCTCTGGACGCTAACACATTCCAATCTCTCCCCTTCTAATAAATAACCCGCTCTTCTGTTTTTGCTACCTAGGTGGATGACTTCGCACTTCCCTACATTATACTTCATCTGTCACCTACCTGCCCAATCACCTAACCTATCTGTCTCGCTGCATTTTTGTAATGTCGTCCTCTGTGTCGGCACTTCCTCCTAGTTTTGTGTCATCCCCGAATTTAGATATATTAGCTTCGATGTTCTCATCAGATCATTGATGTCGATGGTAAATAGCTGAGACCCAAGGACTGATCCTTGTGGCACTCCACTAGTCACATCCCGCCAATCCGAAAAAGACCCGTTTATCCCTACTGTTTGTTTCCTACCAGTTAACCATTCCCCAATCCATGTTGATATGCTCCCCCCAATTCCATGGGCCCTTATCTTTTGGACTAACCTTTTATGCGGCACCTTATTGAATGCCTTCTGGTCAGTGGAAGTCCAAATAGACCACATCCACTGATTCACCTTTATCTAGTTTACTGAAAATGTCCTCAAAAAACTCTATGAGATTTGTCAAACATGACTTCCCTTTTGTAAAGCCATGTTAACCTGGCCTAATTATATTGTGCTCCCCTAAATACCGCACTACCACATCCTTAATCAACGATTCTAAAATTTTTCCTATCACTGATGTGAGACTAACCGGCCTATAGTTCCCTATCTTTTCCTTTCCACCTTTTTGTGAAGGAATTGGCGGGAGAGGAAGGAACAAAGCTGGGAAGCAATGACTCGTTCCAGGACCTTGGAGAAGAAAGAGAGTTGGGGATGGGGCAGTAGTTTGCAAGCAGGAATGGGTCCAAGGAGGGATTTTTAAGGATAGGAGTGATGACAGACGTTTTTAAAGGGGTGGGAATGATATCAGTGGACAGGGAGAAGTGTATGACGTCTGTGAGTACAACAACATGCATTTATATAGCACCCTCCACAATGGACAGTGTCTCAGAGCGCTTAACAATGGTGGAGCCCGAGGCCGAGCTGGGGCAAGGGGGAAGGTGACCATAGGCACAGTCGAAGAGGAGATGGTAAGGAGGTGGAGCTGGGAGGTAAGAAGAGGGGTATGGCTGGGGTCGAGGGAACAAGTGGTTGGTTTCATGCGGGTTATCGTGGTGGTGAGAGAGGAGTGGGAGAGAGATTCGAGGGTGTGGAGGGAGGGATGGATAGGGGCTGGGGTGTGAGTGGGTGATGGGAAGTGGATAGTATATGGAAGGGCACAGGCAGCTGAGCGGATCCCCTCAACTTTGGATTCAAGGAAGTCCAGCATCGCCTCACAGTTGGCATTGGAAGTGATGATCGGCAAGGCGTAAGAGGTTGGGCAGGGAACTGGTTGGTGGTGGAGAAGAGGAAGCTGGCCTCCAACATTGTCTTGGGAGTAGAACGACAATTTGCTAGAGGCAATGGCAGAGTGGTAAGATTTGATAAGGTCCAGCCAGATTTGCTGATGAATCGTTAAGTTCAATTTAAGCCAAGTGCGATCAGCGGTCTATTCAACAGTATTATGTTTTCTCTCTATCCTGGAAACAGCAGTAGCATTGAAAACATTCTGCTTGTTTTTATTTCAGAATGAGTTTTTTTTCTTAAGTTTGTATGGAATGAAAAAAAAGCACAAAAAAGTGTATCACTAGAGAAAAAGCTATCACCATTGATACTGCACAATCTATCACATATGCCATGGTGTTGAATTATATGAACATTTTCAACTTTCTCCAACTATTTGTACTAAAATGTTTTCATTCATCTTTTAAAAATTCAGATGTGGGAGACTCACATTTAATACATCAAATTTCCTATACAAGAAGATATCGAAAGCACAATCCCTCGTGTTTGTCTTGTCCAAAGGAAAAAAAGTTTGAAATGGCTTTTTGCTGGCAAAAAGACAAAACCTGTTTGTAATAAAACATATCACGTGTCTGACAGATATATGACCGTTGAAATCCTTTTTGGGTAATTATAACCAGACAGGCATCTGGGTTTCTGGGACAGTTGTGGAAATTAGTACACAGCTGCATGGACTTACTCGTCTGGGTGCCTGCCAGTGTTGGAATATGGGTTCTCCCTCATGGCTCTGGTCTTTGGATCATAATATGCAGAGTTTGGATCCAGGTTTCTGAGGTACTGAAAAGCAATAAAACCCCAACATTTTAGTGGATCAAGCAAAGCAGTAGAAACACTAACATATTTAATAAAAAAATCACATTAGCAATTATATCATGACACCATATTCCCAACTTCCAGGCACAATGCTGGAGCAGTCTGCTGTTTCTAATATATTCTTCATTCTAGCTGAAACGGTTCTTAAAATTGAAAATGAAGTTGAGACTGCTTTGTGTTCACAGTACTCTCCCTAAACATATATTAAAAAAAACTTTCTCTGAATAATGAGAAATTCTTGCTTGAATGAAATACCCAGGAATTGCCTATTCCTACATCTCTGGTGATGCCAGTCATGCGAATGAGTTGATTGCATTCTAGGACAGCTCCACTGAAGTTAATGCTACATTGGCAGTTCACAGACAGACTTAGGCTAGTTGTAGCAACAGTGGCCCAAACACTGTTTAAAAGCAAGGATTCATCATTGCAGGAAATTATATTTTACAATCAGGTATGTGGGTGTGGACTTCACTTGACATCATCAAACCTTAGCTGCAAGCCACCTCATCAAATAATGTGACAATCCTCCCTGTCCTGCCCTGCATACAAACAATAGGTTGGGTGAAGCATCACGCATCAAGCTAATGCCCTTGGAATCGTATTTCAGGTTATGTCACCACTTTCAGTACAGATGAGCAACCAAAGTATGTATTATGTAGACAACATACTATTCTCCTAGCAACACTGGCCAAAACTATAAAGCAGTATCTGGCTGGCATTTCAGCTAAGGATTGATAATAATAATCCTGACATTTTATACAGTGCTTCCTGCATTCACAACAATAGCAGATGGGGCAGAAAATATAGCACTTAAGCCAAAATAAGTAATAAACACAAATACATACTTTAGCAATGTCCTCACGGATACGGAGGTTTCTGACAGTAATTCTTCTTTTGGAGTCAAAGTTCTGTCCCGGCATATCGACATCATCAGCGTACTTATCCTCATCTTCATCTTCACTGTTATTGTCTTTATCCTGACAATGACAAAAGAAATTAAATGACCATTTTTTACAAAAAATGCCATATTCAACATTACTGCTTTATAATACTTTTGTTTATTAGAAGCCTGATAGCAATACTGTATGAAAAAGCATTCCACTTTGTTCGTACAGGTAATTGCCAGGGAAGTGTGGACTATAGAATGAGCTTGACCTCAAAAAAGGCTTTATCCACCTAAAACCCACAATTTGCTTTGATTACGATTAAAGTTGCGGCAATCTGCTCCGCCGATGATTCAAAGGTTAAATATATCAACTTGTGGGATGTTGGACCATACAGGCCAGAAAATTCAAGTCCCAATCCTGGCCTCCTCTGAGCTAGCTATTCTCAATTGTGAGAGATGTGGCACAACAACTGGAGTGGTTGGGTGGTTAAAGAAAAAAATAATTCAGTGCTTCCACTTCTGTGACTCCTGGAAATGGACATCACAAGGATAGGATAGAGGTAGGCTATGAACATGACACTGTCTGGGTTCATGCTTCCGTAAGACACCAGAAAGCCATTAACACCAGTAGTAACATATCTCACAATAACTTACTGCTTACTGCTTACTGCTGAAAATGCAAGGAGGGAGGAAAATTAATTTTGCAAGTAAAAATATTTCACAACCATCGCTTTTATCTGAACTACAAGGACTTATCAGCAATGATAACTCAGCTGTTTAAACTAAAACACATACTGTTGGAGAATTATGGTCTTCTTCTCCCCATTGACGTCTTGAGGAGTTCTGTTATAATGAAAGTAAGATGGATCAGGCGCACAGCAATAACAACAGTAATTACAGATCTATATCCTGCTTAAACATAGGTCTTAACTTCCAAAATTCATTGTAGTAAATGTCCAGTTTGTTCATAATATTTTCTAATTAGCCTATTTCAGTTAGTGTTATACATTTAGATGTTCTTTTTGCTAGTTTTATTTTTCAGTGATCTTTTCTGCCAAACACTGGAAACACAAAATGCCAGATGTGAAATATCTGTTTTATGTTATACCCTGAGATTCATGTTTCAAAACATCTGCCTGCATATAATCTTAGCACCAAAGCTAAAATTCTTCTATTTACACAGCTAGTAAGTGGTAGGTTTACAAAAAAAAGCAAGATTATATTCACAATTTAAGCAATTCCTCAAAAGGTTTGTTCTATTCAATAGCCAGCAAATTAGCTGCAGGTTGGTCAGGCGTGGGCGCCATAAACCCCTCTACTGGAAAACAAATGGATACACTTACGAGTAAGATAGAAGGTCATAACATTTTAAGAACCCAAATAAATGATTTAAGCCATTAAAGCAAGTAATGCACAATTATCAATACTCCACTGTAATCCCACTTGACCTCCGTAGTCACCTTGTAAATAAGGACTAAAAGGCAGAGGGATTGAATGCACATAGGAACTTTCCTGGGTAGGAAAGGGACAATGCCTCATGTCATGAAGGGTCAGTGGATGTTTAACAGAAAAATATTCTATTCTACATTTGGGAAGTAAACACAAACATGCAATTTAGTCATTTCTAAAACATGTGACTATAGATACTACTCAATTTTCAGGGAAACAGATTTTTAGTTTATTTAAATAATATTAAGAGATTGTTTTAATGTTTTACTTCAGGATGGCCCACTGGCTAAACTGGATGAAATCAACCCACATCCGGCCCAAGGGCCAATTTCACCGTCACCCCCCCAACTACACTTCATCTGTTATGTTTCTGGAAGGAAACACAAGAATATTGCTTCTGCGGCCCGCGGACGTTTCTCGAATAGGGTATCTAGTCCTCGGCACCCTGCTTTACTTTATTGTTGTAATGTTTTACTTATTCTTCTCACCACCACATGGTCCATCAGCTTTCCAGAGGCCAGTTCTTCCTGCAGTTTCTGAGCTTTCAGTGTACGTTTTGCCTGAAATCAGATAATTCAAATATCTGTTATTCCTTTTGCTGAGTACTTCCTCAGCTTCACTCTATGGTTCGGTATCGTTTATTGTGTTCTGCACAAAAGATACTTGTTTGCTAAGTAAGTTTTTTTTAAATTTTACTTTTACACATGAAAAAATACTTGGGATATCATTAAATGTTTAGAAACAAGGCACACAAAACATCATTGACACTTTTACGGGATCTATAATCACTTTCATTGCATAATTAAACCCTAATATTGAGCGCAGTTTACAGATTTATTTAACTAATGCCCTTACCTAATGTATTTAACTAGAGATTATGTTTTCATTAGTTGAAACATGGCAAATGATAGAATTTCTTATAAAAGCTGTGTTTTTCTCAAATTGAAACATCCAGTAACTAAATTTCATTCTAGTAATGCACTTCAGTGCATATTAAAAACACTTTCAATTTTATAGAGTTAGAAAAGAACATTATGACTTCAGTTTCTACCAGCAACTTTTTGGAATATAACTCCTGATTAGACTGAATTACCATACTTTGCCGCAGAAACATTACTTATTCTGTTAGCTCACTTATTGAAAGCATCATCTAGTTTCTCAATAGGTCACTGAAAACCTGGCATGTGCTAAATTACCAAACAAAGTTTCTTCTATCTAGACTATCCAGAGACTTTCTGGAAGGTGTACATAGGTGGGTGTTAGACGAGGAAAGGATCAAATACAGTTGTGATACACCCTGCAATCGAATAGCCTAATAACATGACTAACTGGGCTTATGTGGTAAATTGGCCGATGGCTGACATCAATGGAACTATACCCATTAGAAGAGGCAGAGAAAATTGAATGGGGTGGGGGAGGAAAGAAAGGCTTAAAAAAGTATCCAGACTAAAGGATCCAGATTTGTATAACAAAGGTTTAAGATACAAATGGTGAATTTCTCCCCTAAATCCATCTCTCCAAGTAACTTTACTGTTCATTTTTTGAAATATTGCAATTTTAAACATTAGCTGCTGGTTTTGTTCGGTCTGTAATAGTTTCAAACATTCCTCAAGCACAGTACAGGAATCAGTTTAACAAATGTGTGTCAAAGTTCATTTGCATTGATTAACAGATGTGCTTTTGGTTCCCTCTACAGACCACAAAGTAGAATTTTTTTTAAACCTTGCCTCAGCAAGTCAAATTTTTTTGTCAGTGCTTTGACAGACAGACCTTCAACAATGCTCAGAGGATTATAAAGAGGCAATAAGCTAGGAAATCTCATAAAAGAATGAGGAAAGAAAGTTAGTTATGCTTAGTTTATACTTCACTTTTTGCACCATTTCCACAAAGTGGGAATGCAATACGTGTTGGAAACAACTGCCGGGACCAACCACCTTGGTTTGGTTAGAGCATTGACCAATGCCACAACCTTATAAATACAGGTAGTGCCAACGAATCTGGTTTCCCCAAAGCCTTGCCACTAGAATTAAGGAGCAGTTTTAATATTAAACAGCAGGTCACCCTCCTGGTTCTGCAATAAGATTAGAAACTAGCACTCGTTGAGGATTAATAGACATGTGCCACTCTTCTCTGATCATAGTGAGAGCACTTTGAAGCAATAAAAACGAATAAATCCTCCCCTCAATTGTTCCACTGCAAACTGATCTGGTTTTGGTCCCAAAAGTCTATGGTCACAAACTTAACAACATTTAAGCACAGGTTAGTAGAATAAAGAATAAAGGCCTCAACAATTTTCTTAAACACTGTAGCATGTCTCAAAATAAACTGGGCTTTTTAAACAAGTAAAGGGTCTAATCAAATTCTTTTAATTAGGGATTGCTGTTAAACTTAGAAATAAATTAAGACAATTGTAGGGTTGCACACTTTAAACAAATGAAATAGCTCTTAAAACATCGCTCATGTACGGCCCTGAATAGGGCTGGCAATATCAGCACTCAGTGTAGCAGAAACCACTTGGTGCTAAAACTGGACTTAGTTTGGACTTTTCAGTAATAGCTATTACTCTATTCTGCTGAAAGGAAACGTAATGCATTATTACACACCAAGTCAACTTTTGCATATTCCTCCACAATCCTCATATGCTCCTCTGCATCGTATCCATTCCAACGATCTCGCTTTCCATCGTAGTCAAAAAGAAACGTTGATTGTATGTGCTCATCTGGAGCAATGTTGCTGCCAGTAAACTTTGCTCCCACTTTTCTGGGTCTCTAATCAAATGACGTAAAATATCAGGGAAAAAGGTTTGCAGGATCTATGTGCAAATAAATCATTCAGAAGTATAGGGAAAAGGGAAGGAGTACTAGGGATGAAGGACAGGAAAATGTTTAATATAGAGCATTAGAATAATAATCCTTGCATTTGATATGTGCCTTGTGTTGTTGAGACGTCTCAAAGTGCTTCACAGAATATGCTGTAAAATGAATATGCACAGCAGTGTTGCACAAATAATCGTGGATTGTTTAAAAAAATGGAATTATTAACTCCAGAGACCACCAATCAATTAGAGAAACAGAATGTTAGGCTCTCAGAGTGTTTCACAGGATTTTACTATAAAGTGTAGCGATTGTATTTTGTGGGGGAATCATAGAATTATACAGCACAGAAGGTAGCAATTCAGCCCATCGTGTCTGTGCCAGCTCTTTGAAAAGAGCTATCCAATTCAATCCCACTCCCCCGTTCTCTCCCCATATCCCTGCAAACTTGTCCCCCCAAATAATTATCTACTTCTCTCTTAAAAGCTGTTATGAATGGGCTTCCAGCCAATTTGTGTACAATAATGTCCCATAAGCAGCCATGGAGTGCTTAAACAGGTCATTTGTAGCTCTGTTGTCCCAGTTAGATAGGAACACAGGGAGAGGGAAGACGGATTCAATACATTCCACAAAAGTGTACACCAAGAATTACACCACGTGAAAATCACTTACTTCCACACAGTCCTTCCTGATGTGTGTTAAAGCTCCACAGTTTTCACATGCACCTCGCCGGTATTTGGTTAAAACAGCACCCTGCAAAAGGAGCAAACAACATTTTTAACAAAGTGTAACTTTTCCTGAAGTTATCCACCTAGAGATTTGAAATTCCCACTAAATACAGATTGCATTCAGAAAAGATCAGGAGGAATATGTTTCCCCAGGGGTTACAGTTAAAGCTGCTCCCAATTCAGTAGGTGCACGGCAACACATTGAATTAATTACCTGCCCTGCCAAATCTTTTCTCCACTGCAGAAAACACTAAGAAATTTATTTCAGACACATCTACCAGCCAGTTTATAATACCCCAAGCCATAGATCCAAAGGCTGCAGAATGCGAGAGAAAAACATTTCAACAACAACAAGATTCCATTTATAAAGCGCCTTTCACGTCAGGAGGACGTCCCAAGGCACTGCACAGTTGGGTCATGACCCGAGCAGGGGGGAAATGGTCAGGGTGAGGGGAGGGAAGGGAGGGAGCGAGGAGGGGGGAAATGGTCAGGGTAAGGGGAGGGAAGGGAGGGAGTGAGGGGAGGGAAGGGAGGGAGCGAGGAGGGGGAAGAGAGTCGAGAGGGGAGCTGAAGGCTCGGTCAAAGAGAAAGGTTTTGAGACCGGCCTTGAAGGAGGAGAGGGAGGAAGCGGCGAAGGCACTGGGGGATAGAGTTCCAGAGCCTGGGGGCTGAGAGGCTGAAGGCCCGACCACCGATGGTAGGGCGATTGGGGCGGGGGACGTGGAGCAGACCGGAGCCGGAGGAACGGAGGGTACGGGCGGGTAGGTAGGGGGATAGTAGGTTGGAGAGGTAGGAGGGAGCAAGGCCGTGAATGGCCTTGTAGGTGAGGATGAGGATCTTGAAATCAATCCTCTGGGGGATGGGGAGCCAGTGGAGGCGAGCGAGGGTGGGAGTGATGTGGTCGCGAAGCCTGGTGTGGGACAGTACACGAGCTGCAGAGTTCTGAATGACCTGCAGCTTGTGGAGGGAGGTGGCGGGAAGGCCGGCGAGGAGAGAGTTCCCATAGTCCAGCCTTGAGGTGACAAAGGCGTGGAACAGTGTTTCAGCAGCGTGAGGGGTGAGGTAATGCCGTAGTCTGGCGATGTTCCGGAGGTGCTGGAAGGCGGTGCCAGTTGTGGTGCGGATGTGAGGGAGAAAGGACAGCTCAGAGTCGAACAGAACACCGAGGTTCCTGACTTGCTTTGAGAGGTGGAGAGTGCAGCCTTGGATGCTGATGGTGTCAGCGCCTGAGGTGCGGAGGCGCTGACGTGAGCCAATCAGGAGGGCCTCGGTTTTTCGCATGTTGAGCTGAAGAAAGTTGTCTCTCGTCCAGGACTCGATGTCGGACAGGCAGCTGTCAGGACATTGGTGGTCGTGGAGTTGAGAGTAGAGGAGGAAAGGTAGAGTTGGGTGTCATCCGCATACATGTGGAAGTTAACTCCATGTCTGCGGATGATGTCACCAAGGGGGAGCATATAGAGGGTGAAGAGGAGGGGACCGAGGACAGAGCCCTGAGGGACACCACATGAGACAGTACTTTCAATGCGTACCTGCTTTACTCCCTTCTTGAACCAGTCTCCAATAGAACTGAACTGTTGCTGCTGCTCAAACTGTGGCCGTTGATGTTTGAGTGTTGGTCTTTTGGAGGGATCTATATACCATGGAACCGATGAAATATATTGAGGAATGTGGGGATTGATATCTCTATCAGGAGAGAGTGAGACAAGTAAGTTTAAATTTTGATGGTCCTTTAACAAATGTTTCCTTGCATTTGATATAGCCCCCTATCGCATCTTCGAGATGTCTCAAAGTGCTGCATAAAATATTGTGGAGTTCTGTAGCTCAGTGGTTAGAGCAAGCGAGAAACCTGGGTTTGATTCCCGGAGGGGTGAAACCTTGGGCAAGTTTCCTTACTCCACACGCCTGTTTACCTAGCAGTAAGCAGGAACACAAGTTCACAAGCCAGAGTGCTAGCAGTCAGTGAATTTCAACTGCTCATAGTCAGTGGCTGCAGCCTGAATATAAAAAATGTTGTTTAAATTTCTCTCTCTTGCTTTTTNCCCCACTAAACCCATCCTACTCTCTTGCTCAACTTCTGTTAATTTCCTTATTTGAGAGAACAGCATTTTGACCTTTTCTGACTCCTCACAAGTATCAAGCAGATTTAATTGTTTGAGTGCTTTCAGATTAGCCAATAAGTCATCTCTGTGTTCTGTCTGGAGGCAGATCAATGGAACACTAGGAACTATATGTTGCTCAATCAGTTGTCTCATCGCTTTTAACTCCTTCTGTAACCTTTCAAATTCAGAAGTAACCATTTGTCCCAACCTTTCTTCCAGATTTGATTCTTTTGTAGAATTAATTTGTCTTGCTATGTCTTTTAAACCTTGCAGTGAATCCTTATTCTTCTGCACTTTTTCAGTTTTTTTCCCCCAAACCAAGGCCGCTACTTTATGCCCTTTTAATTTTTCGTGTGCCTCTCCCTGTCTGGCTTCCCATTTTGTGGGTGATTGATCCTTTGAACATTCAACAGAGCCTCCAATCTCTCCCTTTTCTGTCTTAAAATATTGCTTTATGCTATTAAGATTATTCCATGGAGCTTCTCCAAAGGGTGGTCCCCCTGGTCTGCTTGACATCCGTAGGCATAATGCCCAGCTTTTCCCCAATTATAACATGTTCCTGGTCTTTCCCTGGGACCCTGACTTCCTCTTCTCTCTCCTTGTCCCATTCTAGGAGGGGTCCCTTATCCTCTAGATTATCCCAATTAATATCATCAGCATTTTTGGCTCCTTCCCCTGGTTCAACATGCTGTACAGGGGCTACCCTAACTTGCCTGTGTCCCAGTGCCATTTTCAATTTAATAATCTGTCGCTGACATCCCTGGTGATTTCCCCCGGTTTTAGTCTTACCCCTCTCTATCTCCTCCCTCAAGGTCCCTCTTGCATCCAATATTTTTTGCTGGAGGTCTTTTACTTGCTTTTCCAACTCACCACATCTCTGAGCCCTCACCATAGTATCCACTGTATTGCGCGGTTAAGTTCACAACATCTTGTTGTGCACCCACCATCCCGCTCAGCTCGCTAACCCGAGCCCGCAGACAGTCCACCATTTCCTGTCTTTCTTTTAGCTGGCGCTGGTAATGCTCCTCCAATTTGTCACTAGGTTCCTGGGATTTAGCCTGTTCCCTTAGACGCCTTTCGTCAAAATTCTTGCCTGTGCTTCGCCGAGTACTCAACTTCATCCTGAAGTTGTTTTTGCAATGTATCAACATTACCCTGAATTGGGCAACCCCCTTGGGTCCCCTTTGCCTTTTTCTTTAATCTTAACACATGGCTGTTTCTGTTGGTAATCAATAAACTTGACAAGCATCCGAATAAGCAATCGATCCTCTGTTACTAACCAGTATCCTCCTCCGGTGTTAGGTTTTTAATCCTTATCACCTAACGGGATTTGTTCTTTCCAACCTTACACCTTTACGCAGGTCAAGTAAACTGTCAGGTCCGAATTATGGGTGGTATTATTCACTTGAGCTAGACGGACTCATTACACGGTCCCCGTATATTGCCTCCTGGCTGGCTCTCCAATTTATTTGCAAATTTACTTGACACCACATTACTTTCAAATATAGGTTTTATTAATGTTTGAACAGACAAATCAACTGCACTGTATCCCTTATGAGGATATACTAGGCAACAGACAGAATCAAAATCACATTATTCACTACTCCTCCTCTTTCACTTTTAATGGTCACTTTCTTACTGGAGGTAAATTCTCTCACCCCCGTACACATACATAGTTAAAGTAGAATTGATATTGATTCCACTGGAAAGTGCGTTGACCCTCTTCACAACTCCAACTATTTCAAAGTTACATCTTTAAATAAGGAAAATAAATACTTTGTGCCATTCTACAGAGAAAATGTCATTCTCACTATTCTGATATTACATAATATGCATATTATTTCCTCACAACAAATGTTAAAATGTTACTCACTTTCCCTCTTCATCAACTTCTGCTGGAGCGTTACCAAGCTTTCTCTGCTCTTCTAACTCTTTCTTCTTTCTCCAATCCTCCCTGGTCATCTTTTTTGGCTCATCAAGGCCCATCACCCCACCAGACACCTCGGAGGTTGCAGAGGTTGCAACTTGCATTGTTCCAGATGCCATGATGCTCTCTCCTCAGGACTCTGATTTTAATCTGTGGATTGGAAGAAACACCAACATCAAAGACACTACATAAATGCAACTTGTTATAGTAATTCACCAGCGCGGGGATTCTTCCCACTCAGCTGCCGTTACACTGCAAAGCCAATCGTACAGGATTTCAAACCTTCAGTGGGGAACATTTCCACATACCCTTCCTGCACCCCAAGTTACATTTACATCAGCCCCCTCGACCCCCTCCCCCACGCGCCCCCTCGACCCCCTCCCCCACGCACCCCCTCAACCCCCTCCCCCACGCGCCCCCTCGACCCCCTCCCCCACGCGCCCCCTCGACCCCCTCCCCCACGCGCCCCCTCGACCCCCTCCCCCACGCGCCCCCTCGACCCCTCCCCCACGCGCCCCCTCGACCCCCTCCCCCACGCGCCCCCTCGACCCCTCCCCCACGCGCCCCTCGACCCCTCCCCACGCGCCCCCTCGACCCCCTCCCCACGCGCCCCCTCGACCCCCTCCCCCACGCGCCCCCTCGACCCCTCCCCACGCGCCCCCTCGACCCCCTCCCCCACGCGCCCCCTCGACCCCCTCCCCACGCGCCCCCTCGACCCCCCCCCACGCGCGCCCTCGACTCCCCCACACGCGCCCCCTCGACCTGCCCTCACCTTCACACACACCTTGAACCCCCACCACACAGACACACCGCTCACCCACTCAGCGCTTCACCTTCTACCCCCCACCCTCAGCCCCTCCCCCAAACCCTATTCCTGGCACCTCAGCCCCTCACCACAGACACATCTCTCACCCACACGCAGTCCCTCATCTCTCCCCCCCCCACTGCGTCCCCCTCGCGGGCCTAAAGCCACCGCCTCTGGACCTGTCCTGGAAATCGAGTGACGGAGAGTCTCGCCACGAGACCGGGCCTCGAGCCACAAAAACACAAACTGTCTCTCACAGCCTCTGTGTCACCAGCTCTGCTCTCCTCCTCCTGCCTCGCGCGCGCGCGCTCTCTCTCTCCCTCTCTCTCTCTCCGGCCGCCGCCGCTGCTGTCGAGAACCAACGGAATCTGCTCGCGCCGCCGCCAACGTAAACAAGGGCCGCGCGAGACCACTTCCGGTCTCTGTGCGCAGGCGCCGCCGCCGTGTTCGCCTGATAACCCGCTTTCACATCCGCCATCTTGGCTTTACAATAAGACGTCACAGAGTGAGCGGAGTGGAGTCGGCCCTTCACAGCCCATCTGATCTCATGATCCACTCCAGAACATCGACCCTAACCCCCTCTCTCACTGCATCAAACTGCTTTTCAAAGGAGTGCTAGTGTAGGGTGACCATGTTTTTGTAAACCAACAACAAGAAGTTGCATTCATATAGTGCCCCTCAGGCAAGGTATCCTCCCAGACCACTTAACAGTGGCGGAGCACGATGTGGAGCCGGGTTCGAGGTGACCATAGCACAGTCAGAAGAGGGAGGTCTTCAGATGTGACCTAAAGATGGGGAAGGTGGAATTGAGGTGGAGGGATTCAGCGGCTGAAAGCGCGCCCACCGATGGTGAACTGAATCTGCGAACACACATATATACATTATAAATATCAACCTGTTCCCCCCCCACCCCACTCTGTTCAGGAGGAGCCTGCGCCATGTCCACCGCCTGGCCCACCCACCATCAGCCATTGTGTCTTCAGCCTCTCTACCCCCAACCTTGGAAACTCATCCCACATCCTCTTCGTTTCACTCCCTATTTTGCCTCCAAGGCACATCTCAAAGGTCTCCTATTCAACTACACCCTCGATTATCCTCCCTGATCCCAATTCCATCCCCCCACCCCACTTGGATCCAAATCCCTGACTGTCCAATGCTTTGGGACATCCTCCTGACGTGAAAGGTGCTGTATAAATGTAATTTTGCATTGCGTACACATACAGGGTCATATATATTTCAAAACAAACAGGATCTTAGTTTCAGTTCACATTGAAAAGGCTTCTTTTTCCTAATCCATCAATTTACACCTTGTAAAACGTACCTCGCTTGCTCTCCCCTCTTTATAATGGCCTCAGTTTTCACCTTTTGACATATATTATATATTATCAATAGTTTAGCCATTTGATTGTTTACTGCAACAGACATTTAGAAATGTTAAATTGAAACAAACCCACTGTATTAAGATTAAACGATTTAGGTGCTGTTTTTGCACTTACATATTTGGGTAGAAGAACAATTATATATACATTTGCATATTTTCGATTCTGGATTAAAATAGATAAAAAAAACATTTACACAATGCCCTGATTGCATCAAAATAATCCACTCGAATGTTATCCCCGGATCAGATATCCCACACTCTGTATACAGTTTGCTGCAGAATTAGAGCAGTAGCAATATTGTAGGGGGAAAAAAAATTTCAATGTAGAACACAGTTTTGGTCTGACCAGTGTCTGACATGTGGAAAACCATCACCAGCATCCAAACCAGACTGAGAGTTCCACTTATGTCTGCCACCTTTGCATGAACATTTGCCGGTGTCTAGAACGGAATGTGCACTCTCTTCCTGGAAAGACGCACTCTACTTAGGTAATTCCAAAAAGTATTAGACACAGGTTGGCAAGAGCCAAGGCTTGGACACCTTGTGCGTTGAGATACTGCCTGGGCTTAACTAGCTAAAACCTCACAGCTTGCCAGGGAGAGCACTGTCTGGCAAGCTTTTCACTGCTTGTCCAGCTTGGACCACTCTTCTCATTGGGGCTTTGAAATGCGATCAGGAGACAAATGGGAAGGATCCCCGCCCCCAGTGCCAGATCAATACCAAATCATGCAACATTAAATTAATAAAGAACATTTCCAAAAGAACCTGTTAAATTGGATTTCGCAAACAAAAGTCTTGAGTATATTGAAGACATTGTCTGGGTTCAGTTTCCTATCATCTTCTCAATATTAACACAGCCTTTGGCAGAACCCTGACCTCTTGTGTTCAAGCACATCACACGGTTGAATTACAGACATTCTTAAGTGACTTACATATTTGTAATTTTTTCCAGAAGATTTCTAAGAAATTTCTATTTCCCCTTTGTTAAAGTGAACTGCAATTTTTTTGACAATGTGTCTATTTTTGATATTGGATTAGCGTAAATTCAAACTCAATTTCCTTTTCTCTATAAAGAGAAATCCTACCTCTTTCCTCAGAACTCTGCCCCCTAGCTTCAGGAATTAATCTATTAGTCAATAAATCAGTCACTAGAGGGCATAAATTTAAGATCATCACCAAAAAACAAAACAAATGGAGTTTATCCCAGTGTCCTGGCCAACAATCCCCCAATTAAAATTGGTATTTACTTCATGGTTGGCTCTAACAGTAAAGAATCCTGTGAAACCGTTTTGAAATGTCCTCTTGATGTGAAAGGCACGGTATCAAATGTATGAATGATTATTGAAGGAGAGGTTAGAGGAAATGCTTTTACACAGCGGGTGAGTAGGACATGGAATGCTCTGCCAAAAACAATGGTTTGAGTAGAATCCATAATAGCTTTTAAGTGGGAATTGGACAAATTGTTCAAAATAGAAAATATAAAAGGGTTTGGGGACAGAGAGATTGAGAGAGGGAAAGTGGGACTGTGATATCGCACCTGTGCCTACGGTCACCTCCCCTCTCCCCAGCTTGGTGTCAAGCTCCGCCACTGTTCGAGACACTACCTGCATGAAGGGTGCTATATAAATCCGAGTTGTTGCTGATGTAAAATTGTACAATTCTATGCTAATAGAAAGGGGCAAATGTCTCCAATATGATTCAGATTTTATTCAGCAGGCGGTCTACCATTTTTCAATGGTGAATAATTCAGTTATTCTGTGTCGGAATAGTTTCCACAGCAAGAGTGTGTTTTACGATTGGCACTGTTATGTCACAGAAAGCTGAGTGGGAGTTATTAGACAGAAGTTGCTATGACTACAGCTCGTGTTTGGTGCCTGAGAGTAAGCACACAGCTGCCTAACTTTTGTGCTTAAAACCACTGGTGGGAGAGTGATTCTCATTCTGGTTGAATTGTCTCAACATACGTGGAATAAAAGCTGTATGTTACACACAGGTTCATCACATCGCTGTCGAACACAATAACACACTGCAGATATCACTGGGTGCAATGCCTCCAATTGGGCAGAATGCAGGCCTAGAATGATAGGGCTACGCAAGGTAACAGTCTTACAGTGATAATAATAATAATCCTTGCACTTGATATAGCACCTTATCACATCTTTGAGACATCTCAAAACGCTTCACAGAATATACTCTAAACTGAATTAACTGTATATTTTGTGGGCGAAGTGCAGCACCTGATTGTACACAGCATTGTCCCACAAACAGTAGTGGATTAACACACCCAGTGATATCTGCAGTGTGTTATTGTGGTCAACAGCGATGTGATGAACCTTTACCTCATGTGTGTAACATACAGCTTTTATTCCACGTATGTTGAGACAATTCACCCAGAATGAGAATCACTCTCCCCAAATGTCTTTTTTAAGGATTAGCAATCTGCCAATCAACTAACAACTGGGTTCCCATTTACTGCTGGGTAAACAGGCGTGCAGAGTAACAAAACTTGCCCAACGTTTTGCCTTGCCCTGGAAGCGAACCCAGGTCTTCTCACTTGTGAGGTGAGTGCTCTAACCACTAAGCTACAGGACTCAACAATGATCATTCAGTATTATTCCCCTTCACTGATCTACATGAAGAAATCCCTTGCTGACAACAATGGGGGAGATTGCAATATAGAATCATTTTGTGGTGTCTCGCCAGCACAGGCTCTGCAAAGCAGGGCATTGTTTAAGGAATTGTCACTGTTGGGGACTGAACTCGAAGGGGCACTTTTATTCCACATCCAGAAACATTAAAAACAGATTTCTACAGCTGAAGCAATGCTTCATGTATTTGTTTCAAACCTTAGAGTGATTAAAATAATATAAAAGCAGGAATCTAACAAGTAATATTATACAATGCATTTAATTATCAAATAATATTCTGTAAAATGTAGCTAAAATTCATTCTGTAAAAACTGGCTAAATGGTGACCACTTAGTGACTGCCAATGAAATCGGCATTACATTTATTAATTGCCTTCATTTATTAGACTAACTGTACCCATTGCAGTCATGCTTGCAACCAAAGAATCCAATATTGAATGTAGATTGACACACAGACTGACATATAGACAGACATTTCATCTTTATATTCATCTGGGAGGATTCCTGTGGGAGGATTCCTTTTGGGAGGACTCAGCGCTTTAAAAATGCAATTGTGTTGTTGTTGCTGTATTGTGTTGTGAATTGACTGTAGATTTTCTGCTGCTAAGGTCAAAGCTAACACTGTTACACAATTAAATAATTTCCCTGTCAATTAGAGTGTTCAAGGAATCAAACTGAAATCGTCATCACATCTAACTGGGTATTTATAGGCGAGCAAGAATCCCAGCTTTAAGGGAACGGGCGATGGGTTGCTCTCAGCAAGGGTATGAACAGAAATCATCAGTAAAAGCAACGATGAATGCCAAAGGTGTATCAGCTGTCTCACTAAATGTCAGGATCAGCAGTCCCATGCCAGATGCGATGTGAAACACAGCAGCTTTATAGGCCTAAACCTTCCAGCAGATGCAATGTGGGTTTTAAAATTCCATCAGCATGTGGCAGAGCTGCAGAACCTCCTGATGCTACTGTTTCAAACCACAAGCTCTAATCCCAATGCCATATGACAACACATAGCATTCAACCTGGCTTCACAGCATCTATCTGTAGAAATCACGTTACAAACTTCCAGGACATTTTACTCACGACCATTTAAAAAGTTTTTTTTTAATCTATTCCATAAAAATGCCTGTAATAAATACTCATACAACCATCAACATTCCTACTCTCTGGAACTCCCATCCTGGAGTCCCTCCAACTTGCTCCTTTCTTCACCTCTTTCAAGGTTTGTCTCAAAATCATCCTCTTTGACCGCACTTTCTGTTCTTTCTGTGACAGTATTAGCACACTTGTCTGAGTCAGAAGGTTGTGGGTTCAAGCTCCACATTGTGACTTGGAATCACATAGTCTAAGCTGACACTCCGATGCAGTGCTGGGATGTGGG